TTGCCAGCTTCAATATTCTTGGAACATGACCTAAAAATAAAGACGAGTTAATAATATTGAGAAGAGGCTCTTCCACTACAGGTAACACTTCTTTCAGTAGCTTAGTTGGATCTAATAAACATGTTGTTGGTTTAGATGCAATGATAAGTTTATTTAGCTCTTCCTGTCCTATAGTTGTAAAGCGGTTGAGGGGGCGATAATTGAGGCTGAATCATAAGACACCATAAAAGATTGTACATTTACAATTGTGTTTCAGATGCTTTCTATTTTCTCAGTGAAGAAATTCATCAAATCATTACTACTATACTGTAACGGAATATTTTGCTCTGGTGATGTCTGTTTATTTGTTAGTCTAGCCACGGTGTTAAAAAAAAAACTTGGATTATTTTGGTTATTTAGATGCTCAGCCCTGGCTGCTTTTAGAGCCTTTTTATAACGTGACATACTGCCTTTCCACGCGATTCTAAAGACCTCTAAATTAGTTTGTTTGCTTTTACGCTCTAAGTTACGAGTTTCTCTCTTGATAACATGCGTAGCACTGTTGTACCATGGTGCTTTAGTTTTCTCTCTAACCTTTTTTAATCTAATTGGTGCAACAATTTCTAATGTACTTGAGAAAATGGTGCTCAACTGCTCGTCATTTCCTCTAGTTCATCTGTTCATCTGAAACTTTAAGTGGCTTGAATGACTGAAACAGAACTCAAACTGAATGAGTTATAGAACATTTCTATATCCCAGAATGATAATTGAATAATAATTGTATAAAGTTAATTAATCATCAATTAAGTGATGATTGATCATTAGTGATGAACACCTGCTGTTAACAAGCAGAATCACTGAAGGAAAGAGAAACACAAGAAATACAAGGTTTAAGGTCACCATGATGGAGATCAGCATTTGCTTTAGTTGGGCTCTTGACCCTTGACATTTAAGTACAAGTTTTTCTTTGGCTGCTGTAATTGAGTGTTTATGAAACATTTGTTATGGCACAAAATTCAAGGAAAAGTATGATTGGGTGATGATGGTCAAGGTTTGATGATGACAATCATCACTTAATGACTTGATTCACTGATCTCATTCAGAGTCTAATGTCTGATTATATTATTAGCTGTATTCGAAACTAGATTCTACAACATAAGAACTAGCAATGTTATGACTAACAATTAACCCTAACATATTCCATGAAGGATTTTACATAAAATGTAATTCATTACCAAAACTAACACAGATATCAAGAATCAGCATATTAATCTCAACAATGGTGACCGTTAAAAAACGATCCATACTGCAATGCATGCTGGGTACTACCATAATACAAACCTTATCCCAGCATGCATTGCAGCATGAATGTTTTTTAATGGTAACCATTGTTGAGATTCATATACTGATTCTTGATGTCTGTGTAAGTCAGCATGATACCATAGAGGTTTTTAAAATCTGATTGTATCAACAATGGGCTTTGCAGCAGGATCACAGTTCTTTTATAATGAAAAATACAAGTATACATCACCTGTTTAATCAGAGATTATTCTCTAGAAAAGATCAGAGAATCAAGACACCAAATGATGATTCATCATTCCATAAATCATCATCAAAACACCACCACATGCTCGAATTTTCTTTTGGCTTTTGTGCCATATCAAATGTGTTATATAAACACTCAGTTACAGCAGCCAGAGGAAAAACTGGTGTTATAAAGTCAAGGGTCAAGAGCCCAACTAAAGCAAATACTGACCACTCTAATGGTGTCTTTAAATGAAACTCAATAAATCATCTTCATCTTAACCTCTGTTCATTCACAACAACAACTTCTGTAGACGCATGATAAAAGTCAAACTGGTTAGTAAGTGAAGCTGGTAATGCTGTTTGTGGAGTTGTTCAATCCTCCTCTGCTGAGATCTTGAGAGATTTAAACATGTTTTATCTTCAGTTAATTTCATCTAATGTTGTGGTTGGAAGTCAGTTCTTGTGTTTGTCTTTCCTTCAGTGATGTTAACAGCAGGTGTTCATCACTAATGCTCAACAATCACTCAATTAATCACTTAATTAATCACTTAATTTCTTGACTGCAATATCTACTTCTAGTGAACTCAACTGAAATAATTTCAGAATACTCATAACTATTGTTTTTTTATAAACGTAAATGAATTGAGGCAATCGGTTTCCTCAAATGAAATGAGTTAGCTTAACTTGTTGGGTTTTACAGTGTAGGAGCAGGGGCTTCAAAACGAGGCGCTCAACCAGACTGGGGAGAGAGGAGCTGTAATCATGTAAAGTATGTGAAAAAGAATGCAAGCATGAATGCAAGCATGAAAACATATTCTAGTACACCCCAAAGACAAAATCAAGACTTCGTAAAAGGGCATAATAGGTCCCCTTTGACTGAAAAAAAGCAGCTTAGGTCAAAAATAGGACAGATTCTGCGGGTTGCAAAACAAACCAGACATTATGTTTGATGCAAGCAGCTTAGTATCAAATATAAAAGATGCTGCAGTCCAGTCTATTCACGAGACAAATACGGTCATTAGAAAGCTTAAATCTTAAAAAGTGACTCTCAGGTTTTAGCGTTTGGGAAACAGTATTGCTCTGAACTTTATCGTTTTCAGTGATGCTTCCCTTGGAAGTCTCCCTGATGGGGAACACAAGGGGGAACATTGATTGGTCTCATGGGAGGAGAAGGGAAGTTTTCTCCTCTCTGTTAGCAATAAGGTGTGTGGTGAGGAGTACTCTGGCAGGGGAAACTGGCCTGTCAGATGGAATAGATATGCTATTTTTCTCTTTTCGGAGCTCACAACTGGAAACGCTGAGCTGAATGTTCCTCCGTTGGTCTGTGATAACCACTCTCTGTTTGATTCCCCTAAATCAACAAAACAGGTCACCGAGAAATGACTTTGTCTGGAAATAAGCAGCATAAAGGGCCTCATACAGAGTAAAAAGATAAAGAACGTACTCTGGTTGGACACATAAACTCAACTCGCTGACTGTCTTACCAAAAATGGAGCGTCTGCTCTGGTGTTATTGAAAGCACTTAGTGAAGGACTGTGGAAAGTACATTTGAAAAGACTGAACACTTTCGATTGCATATGCAACAACTGAATTGTTGTGGTAACTGTGGCCTTTGTTATATAAGGTTTGTTTAATATATAACATTTTTATTTATATTTTCTTTGTTTTTTGTTTAAAGTATAGGGAGATTGTTAACATGTTAATTCCCTCTACACTATTCACGTCGGGCTTCCGGGTGTGAAAAGGTTAGCGCATACGCTGGGTTGTTTTGTGTGGGTGGCGGTAATGGTGGATATGTCCTCGCTGTGCACCAAATAAAGTGTGTTATCTACTACAGTATGTAAACGTTGTGTTTATTTGAAGTATCACACTAAACTAAGAACAGTACCGACATGTCTGACATGCTGAAAATCGTCTGCCGAGGGTTTCATAAAGGTGGATAAATGTGGCAAAATATATGTTTCTGATGTCTTTTTGCTAAGTATAACAAATAAAGCATATCGGAAATATTACCACATGATTTCCACATGATTCCAGAGAATGCTTTTATCATCATAATACATTAACCCATATATTGAGAAAATACTAAATCTTTTATTGTATTTTTCGGTGTACTCTTTTACAGCACTTTATTATAGCTGACAGTGTGCAAGGATGAGGCTGTTAATCTAGGATTCAAGGCCAGGACATTTAATATTGCTGAATATCACTGTCCTTGAAAAGTTGTTTTTGCTAAGTACATTCAGGATATTCTGAATAATATTCACCTGACATAAAAGAAAAATATTTGTATTATTGATAAGCAAATATATTTAAGCTGTATTTGAAAATACAATTAATGCATTTTCCCTCAAATAGCACAGATATGTTATCTTTGTTTCATTTACAATTATTATTAGACTGTGCTTAATTTAGATTATACACAACTGACATAATGCAGCAAATTCTGAAGACTGCATTTTCTTCTTTTGTTTGCAGTTTGGCAAATAAAGAGGCAGAAACATCCACATGACCAAATAATGTGGAACGCCCATGCATAAACCCAAGGAGTAATGTGTAATTATGGTCAAGGGTGGGAGCCCATTGAATTCTGGGACAGCTAAAAATGGCCACTGAGAGAAAAATAGTGATACACGTTTAGTTTGTCTGGGATCGCCTTGTGTTATTTGACAGTAAAACGTGTCAGTCTTTATGTTAGTGTTTAAGTTATTATTGACGTTATTTTTGAATAGTATTCCTTTTTATTGAGCATATTTAAAAGACTAATATAGTTTTTCTTGTTTGTTCCAAGTTTGTACAAAAATGTCCCCACAAAGATGGCAATACCCGAATATTGTGTACTTGTCCTTGTGTCCTTTTTTTTGGTCCCCATGAGGAAAACAGCTTATTAAATCAATCAAGTGTTTTTTTTTTTTTTTTTAAATGTAAAAATGAAGAAGGTTTTCTGTGATTGGTAGGTGTAGAGGTAGGGTAAGTGTATAATATACCGCTTATACAGTATAGGAACAAATCATTAGGTCTATGGAAAGTCCCCATTAAACACATTGTGAAGGCCAAGTGTCAAGGCCAAATGTCAACATGAAACATGTCCAAAACTAACTTGTAAGGACATTTTAGGTAGTTATCAATCAGTCAAACATCAAAATTATTTATGAAAGTTTCCTTTTTATTATATGACAACCAATGTGTGTGTATTTATGTATGACCACTAAAGTGGAGCGGGTAATATTGTTCCAATTAAACTTCAGTAAATGTGTCCAAGCTTAATTTCTGTTTTTTTTGTTTTTTTAAATATACTTAAAGGATGTTTGAATCTCTGACATTTTTGTCTCTGTTCCTTTGTATGTGTCTGTCTGTATTTATGTCTCAGATTTTACCTACCTCACCCCACATCTGTTTCTCACACTCCCTTGTTCCCATTCCAAGGCCTTTGGAGTTTGCTGAACCAGCATGTCTGGGCAGAGGATGTGTGTAAAGGCTTGGACTAGCATGTCAAGACACATGCACTGAGGCAACATATTTTGTGCCATTTCGACATCATAAATGCTCGCACACAAAACATGAATATCTGAGTAGTTCCAGCCGAAAAAACTTTTCACATTTTAAGGACAATTATTGAACACCCAAATAGCCTCTCTGTATTATTATTATTGAACACAGCAGCAACAATACTAGAAGTAACAGAGGAGCAACTAAAGAGGTAGGACACCTTTTATAGAAGTTTTAAAAAGTGGCAGGAAAGATATGTGATACAGTATTACTGGAGGAAAATACTTTTTAATTACTTTTTATGATGTTTCCCCCCCTTTTCTGCCTGTCTTTTGGAACAATGTAGATGGCAAACATTGTCTTGAGAGTGCCCCACCTTGTGTAAAATAGTTTTTGATTTTGCTTTATAAAATGTTCATGATGCATAGATCTTTTAATCACCTTCACATTTGTGGAATGCTGTTTAGTATCTTTTCTGCTCGACAGATTAGACAGCCAATTCAGCTGCTTGAGGGTGTATAATCTTTACACATACACACATGCATATGCTTGCAGTGAATGCTATGCGAGTTATCTTTGACTGTTTGGATCTCTGCTTAATATGATTACTTGAAACTAAATATTTCGGTAACACTTTATAATAACTGCATGCTATGAAACATTAGTTAAGCATTAGTTAATTCATCATTTATAAAGCAGTAATAGTCATTGTGTTAATAAATGCTTTATTAACACGTATCCCTACTGTAATTCATGATTAATTCAGGTAGGCCTAGTTTTAAAACATTTAGTAGTTGTCCGTTAACTATTTTTGTGAGCTCATCTAAAGTGAGAACTATTTATGCCTCATAAAGAACTATTTATGCCTCCTTTACAAAGGAGATTTAAAGGCTCTCAGTTATCTTCTAAACAGAAAAAGGAAACAAACACAACACAGAGTGATACAGAACATAGAGATATTTATTTCAAGATGCAAAAAAATTAAACTGTACAGTTGATATTAAATAAAAAATGAACCTCTTCAATGTCATTGAAAATAAATATTCGTGTACATCTCCAGAAAACATAAACTGTAAAGTGTAAACATTGCTGGATAACAATTTGCCAATGCCAACACTGGATTACAGGAGTGCCAAAATACAACTTTAGTTAGTGTGTAATGTTGCTGTTTGAGCATAAACAACATCTGCAAAGTTACAACGCTCAAAGGTCAAAGCAAAGGGAGATATTTTCTGTTAAAGAAATTGCTTTTTAAGGACTACAACAAACGGCTGGTAGGGACTACAAGACATTCCTTCTGGGTTAGTGACATCACTAACCCTAAAATGTCCATAAACCCCGCCCCCGGAACGTGATTTATAGATTATCATGACAGAATATGCTAATCAATGAATAGAAGATAACCACTCATAAGCTACAGAAATTCATCTTGTTGCATTCTACATGTTGTCACTTCTTCTTGAATCTCTCCATCATTGTCTGACTCTGGTTTGAACATAAAAGGCTAAAAGTTTTTCAAATTTCCAGTGCATGTCTGTGTGAGGTAAAAGGACATGAGCTCTTGAAGCTCCGCCCCCTTTGCCAGGAGCAGCAGCTCATTTGCATTTAAAGGGAAACGGTGCGTTTTTGCTCACCCTCAAAAAGTGACAATTTTAACATGCTATATAAAAATATCTGTGGGGTATTTTGAGTTTAAACTTCACATACATACTCTGGGGATATCAAAGAATTATTTTAAATCTTGTGAAAAGGGGATTATACCGCCCCTTTAAACATTAGAGAACAGCAGTGCAGATCGTGGATGAGTTTCGGTACATTGTACAACTTTAGTTTGATTTAGTAAGCTTAGTGTGAAAACTTCCCCAGCTATAGAAGATACTAGCAGAGCCTTTTAAGCTTCCGGTAAGCTACTGCCCCTATAAAATGAATGTGAACTGACCTAAGATCTGGGGAAGTTTTCACACTAAATCTAACTAATTCTTCTTCTGAAGCCACTCTTGACTTAGATTTGTGTTTGAGTTTATTATCATGCTGAAAGAAGAAATTTATTTTCATATTTTTAATGGAGTTGTGATGGAGAGTCCTGGAAGTTGTCTTCCATCACTGTTTTTACTGTGTTCTTACTGTTTCTGTGCATTTATTGCATTTCTTGTTTTGACTGAGTGGGCCTGGCCTTAAAGAAAGTGCAAACTACATGACTTAACCATATATTTTTTTTTGCACATTTTGCACCTCCGCTTTAATAAACACCATTTTGGACTACAAAATCGTTCCCGTTCTTACATGATGGTGTGATTCACCTTGGAGACCACTCGGGTCCCTATCACAGGAGGCCTTCAGGTTTTGTGCCAAAATGGTCTGGTATTTGGCACTATTTATGATTCCTTCTATCTTGACTACTGCCCCAGTCACAGCTGAAAAGAAGCAGTCCATCATTCTTGAACCACCACGATTCATCATAAGTATAGTGTTATTATTATTAATGCATGCTGGCTCGTTTTCTTACAAATTACTGTGAATCAACAGTAAAATGATGCTGATATCACAGTAATTTACTGTTCTTGTTTTACTGTGAGTTCACATGATAAAGTTGTCTTTAACCATGATGCCACTTTAAGAAATTATATTTAGTACTGTAATTGTTTTGATGTCACCATAATGGTGATCGGTGCTACATTTACTTGGGAACTTGTACCTTCCACATGCATATTCATTTTCAAATTTCTGATAGCTATAAGTCAGAAGTGTGATAAATGAAAACATTTGTTAAAACAATGATCAGCTAGAATATAAAATAAGCTTATTGACTGATTTTAAGTTAGTCAAACTGTTCTTAGCATTTCTTTTTAGTGTTATTTTAGCATGAAGATTTACCAATATCTTAATTCAAGTTCACAACTGTTTGTAAATTGATCTTTCACAATAAGTGAAACATCTATCTTTGAAAGGTGTGACATTATCTTGCAACACAAGACTTTTTTTCTTATAAGCTTCACCTAATGAGGCACAGACATCAATACATCACTACTACAAACACAACAATGGTGAACCAACAACACAAACTGCTAAAAGTGAGCCAAAAATAAGTTCAGCAGCACAGATAAAACCAAGAAGTATATTTAAAAAAACTATACAGCATAACCTATTTATGCTGCATTGCAATGCTGGGTACCTTGGGTATATTTGTACTGTAGAAATACAATATGATATTGTTTGTTTACAGTAATTTTTTGAGAGAGCAGTTAAATACAAGAGAAGTACTGCAAAATTACTGTGAAAGTAATGCAATTATTAACCTGGAATATACTGTAATTTCACAACATTTTTTTAAGTGAACTTGTTGACTGCATTCACAGTATTCCATGGCACATCTTAAGCACATAAAAATGTATATTTGTTTGTTGCATGAATTTAGTTTGTTTCAATATTACGTTGAAGATCTGACATGATTTTCTCTCTCATAACACTTACATTTTAACAGGAGTGTGTACTCTTATTATACCTACTGTAAATAGCATAATATAGAGAGAGGTTATTTGATATATGGATTGAAGCACAAGCTCTACTCTTCAGCACAATGGTGACCCACAAAACTCAGACAACAGAAACCCTTTAAATCCCAACAGAACATTAAACACAAACAGATCTCAGCAGAGGAGGGTTAAACTACATTCTGGCGTAGTCGGCAGGGTTTTCCGTTGGGTGGAGACGTGGGTGTATTTACAAAGAAAAACAAATAATAATAATAATTTATAGGTGTTTCTCATGTATTGAGAAGCAAAACAGCAGCGTATGTGGTTTGAACCGGACTTCTCCTGTCAGCTGGCTTCCCTCTATGGTTGGTAAGTGTAGGGTGAGCTATAGAGTAAGAGTTACAACAATTAGAGGGAGGGGCACGGGAGGAGATTCGGTCATGTTCTCGTCGTATAGCCGTCAAGGCAGGAGTACTTGTAGTCAGTATCTCCCTCATGTTCTCGTCGTATAGCCGTCAAGGCAGGAGTACTTGTAGTCAGTATCTCCCTCATGTTCTCGTCGTATAGCCGTCAAGGCAGGAGTACTTATAGTCAGTATCTCCCTCATGTTCTCATCGTATAGCCGTCAAGGCAGGAGTACTTGTAGTCAGTATCTCCCTTATGTTTCTTGTGTAGCCATCATGGCAAGAGGACTTGTAAATCAGTCGCTCACATGTGTTTTTTTGTCGTGTAGCCTTCATGCCAGAGAACTTGTGTATCACTCGTTTCTCATTGTGTAGCCGTCATGGCAGGAGTACTGGTGGTCAGTATCTCCCATGTTTCTCGTCGTATAGCTGTCAAGGCAAGAGGACTTGTAAATCAGTCGCTCTCATGTGTTTTTTTTTGTCGTGTAGCCGTCAAGGCAGAGAACTTGTGTATCACTCGCTTCTCATTGTGTAGCCGTCATGGCAGGAGTACTGGTGGTCAGTAGCTCCCATATGTTTCTCGTCGTATAGCCGTAATGGTAGGGGACGGAAAATGAGTGTCATCGGCTGAGTTTTGTTCATCGTCGGGACGACGATGCGTAATGGGGGGGTAGAATGTAGCAGGGTGGACTAACTCCACCTACTTGAGAGATCATGCACATGCGAGTAGTTGATTGGGCGCCGTGGGATGGCGTATAAAGGAAGGGGATTTGGGCGACCGGATGTGTGCCTTGGCGGCGTCGGATGTCACTTTCATCCGTGGCCGCCTAAGGGTTAACTTTCTTTACGGTCGCCCTTTTACTCGCGGCCATCTGTTTAACTCTGATGTATGTTTTTGCTTCTACGATTAATCTCCGGATGACTGTGCACGCCGTAAAGATACTGTGTGCTGGTTGGTCTGCCTTTACCGTTGGCCACCGTTTCAACTGTGATGCTATAGTTGTGAATGGAGTTGATGTATAGGATTGCTTGTTATTCGTTATAGTTTGCCGTGCATTCTGTGCATTGTATTGATCACTGTTGATTGAGTGAACTGTGTGCTTTGAATATGTTTTTCTCTTAGGAGAACAGTGATTTGTATGTTTTTTTGTGTGTTATGGTGAGTTTATATTGTGTGTTTTTAAATGTGCTGATCCATTTTTGTGTGATTTCTTCTTTTGTAGGAGCTGGAGGTTCCTGGAGAGGGGGGGCTAGCTGCCATTGTGTGTGGGGTGGTTACACCTATGCCGTGTGTCTGTTTGCAGCTAATCTTCACGTGTGTGTGGGAGCGCGTGTATGGGGATAGGGGCTCATATTAAATTAGCGGCTAGCCTGTACCTCCAGGTACCACCACTCCGGTCGACTGGGTTAATTGTGAGTATGTTGTTGTGTTTGATACAGATGGTGCATGTTACTGTGAAGTTGATCCTGAGATTATGGTGACCTTTTTAACTATTTATTATGTAAATGCATATGAGAAATAAAATTACTTATTTCTGCACATGTGTTTCACCCACGTCTCTTTGCCCACGTTGATAACGAATCTGTGCGCCCTTAGGGCGGTTAGTCCCCAGTATTCTGGGGTGGCGTAGTCGACATTTAGCTCTATTCTTCAATTAGCACAAGCTCATGATGCCACAACTGTAATAATCATCATTGAATAAACAGGGTCACAGATCTCACACATACCCAAGAGTAATCACTGATCAAAAGTGTGTTCATTCATTAAATGCTTATTAAATACTGTAGTATAAACACTGATACTTTAATAAGATAATCAGATACCATAATTTGTGCACAAAACATTTTGAACTACTACCAATACCATATTTAAACACACACAGACATCAAGAATCAGTGTATGAATCTCAACAACTGTGACATGCTTCATGCTGAAATGCATTCTGGGAGCTACCATAGTATAAAACCATAGACAGTAAAAGAAATGGACACAGCGACCCCATAGACTTCAACGGAGAAAAGTGAAGTCAAATAGAAGCACTCACTTCCTGATTGCCAAGCGCACTGCGCAGGCTCAAACTGAGCTTGATGACGTAGATGTGACGTGAGCAACCTGACTGACAGTTGTACGTCTTCTAGTAGCGGTGCCAAGAGGAATCTGAATCATTCCCTTCCGAATCTTGCAGAGCCGGAGATCGTGAGTATTAGCTGTCCATGAGCTCGCAGCAGGAGCAACTTTATGACTCTCTATGGGCTTCTCCCTTGACTTTATGCCTCCACGTCCCCCGATTGCGCGTGAGCTTCTACATCTGTCTTTACGGTAATGTACTCTTCTGTGCGACAGAGAGTCGCGTGTTATGACGCAATCGTTAGCCTATTTTTACAAAAACTGCTTCTACGGGGCCACAACGTAAGATACAAGGTAATGGAGCATTTTATACATTGTCGTGTTTCTTTAGAAATAAACAATGGACAAATGGAGTCTTTAAACGTCTCAGATGTAAAGTTATTCGCTGTCAAAGTGACGCAAAAATGAATGGGAGTCAATGGAATGCTAACAGCAGGTGAAGGCTTGTTAGCCAATGGCGGCGCCCGGGGAGACTTCAGTTTCCGGCTGGTGGATTACCCCCTTGTATAAAACTCATCCATGGTTCCCAGCATGCATTTTAGCATGAGGCATGTCACGGTTGTTGAGATTCATATGCTGATTCTTGATGTCTGTGTGCGTCTAAATATGGTAGTAGGTCTAGTTCAAAATGTTTTGTGCACAAAAAAGTATATGATTACCACAATAGTGTTGAACCTCTTATTCTTTGCATAACAGTGTTTATACTGTAATGTTTAAAATTGATTTTGTATAATAAAAAAAGGAATGTTTTCAGATTAAACATATTGCCAATCTAGACAATCTAATACAAGGTTTGTATATATATTATATATCTATATATATATTTAAATATATATATGTGTATATATATATATTTAAATCTTTATATTTCCCCCCGGGGAAATATAATGTGCACGCACGCACTTATATTCTTAACTGGCGCTAGGACCCAGGAACGCATGCTGGCTAGCGGGTCGGGCACACACACATTCCTGCCATACCACAGTGAATGGACATGATTGTTGCAAGTCAGTCAAATGTGTTCAGCAGCAGCGCTTCGGTCAGCTCCAGAGAGTCCCTACTTACAAAAACTCTCCCCCGTTGACAGATTGAGTTATCCGTGTCAGGATCTCGCTGGGTAAATGCGACAACATAAATTTGCTAGCTTATCTGCCTTGTTTTTCAAAGTTTCCTCTGTGAATTCAATGTAGCGGATGATGTGATCAGTGTAACGTGATGCGTGACTCATGTTTACCAGTTCTCGGATGGAGTTTAGATATCTGCATGTGCCAAGCACTAGGATTTATTTATTAATAATGCCTATTGATTTTTTTTTTCAAATGCAATTGATTAGCTACTTAGTAAAGTCAACTTTTAAATTTTTTTTTTTTTTTTAGATCTGACTGCATGGACATTAATTGAATATATGCTTCTAAATGTCCTGTCATGTTTCATGCACCCTGTCGGTAATGTGGACTGCGCTGGGGCTTTAGCTGGCTACGTAATGCTGAAGTTCATCTAGTGTTTCTATTTTTGGTTTCTGGGGTATGTTTCCCTCTTCATTCCTCCTGTCATTTCGCATATGTTGTCTTGTTAATTATTTATAGAACTTTTTTTTTTTAGATACTAAAAAAAACTTTACTGTGATAAATGTGCAGTTGTCAGGTATTTCTATCTGATCTGACCCAAATTGATTCAGTTAAATAAATGATATAATGATATTAAAACCAGTTAATTTATAGCCTATGTTATATAAAGCACATATGTTACCTGACAAAACATAATCTTTTACATGAGCACATTGTATTATAAAGTATGTGATTAGTTGCGTTTAACTAAGCAACAACAGCAGTGCTGATATACAGTCCAAAAGTCTTTTCACAGTTTGTATGTTTGCATATAAGCTGTCAGTCTTTTCAGTCTTTGCACATTGATGGGGAGTTTTCAAGATTATATCATTATGCCAATAAGGTGGAGACATTAACTGTATGTATGAGTGAGCCATTGAATTGTTCACTCAACAGATCCGCTCAACAACACTAATTTATTGGTCCATCAAAAAGTAAAAGAATATTATGAATATAGCATACCCATATAATAAATGCATATAACATACTTATGCTCATGTATTATAGGCAGCAGTTCAGTGCTAAACCTATACTCTTTTTATTTGAAGTGTTGATTGCTTCCAGTGTGAATGAATTGTTGAAATACACAGAAAATGTGTCCAATTGACATTGTAATTACAGTTGCTGAAGTGAACATATAAAAAGGGGAAAGAAAAGTAAGATCCAAGGCAATTAAAAAAACATGCAGAACTATAGCCCAATTGCCAGGGCCTATTCATGTCCATGTCTGTAAGCATGATATATATATATATATATATATATATATATTAAATATATTTGTCATCATTCTTGATTTTGTATTAGTATTGGAATACTTATTTGCTCCTTCTCCTTTTGTAGATAACATTATCCAGTTTATCGGTACGTATCCGTGCTACATCTTGCCCACCCGTGCAGCAGCAGACATGCACAGTTCTGAGGAGAGTGCATCTGGAACTGTGCTTCACAGGCTTATGCAAGAACATCTGCGATACGGAACAAGTGGAACCGGAGGAGGGGTAGAAAACGACAGTTCTCAGATGCTAAGCAACCCCACATCTACAGAGAACCTACTCCTTGAAAAGGAGGGTCAAGTAGCCCATTCATATCAACTTATGCCCTTGCAGTTTCAATCACGACAGGAACCTCAAGGCCAGGAGCATCAAGTGGACAGCAGTTCCATGGAAAAGACTTGTGGTGTGAGCCCAGGTACAGGTCAAGCAGTCCCAGCGGCCCAGACTTTGTCCGGATTTGACACCTTAGAACTTCCGTCTTACGAGGAGGCTAAAATCCAGTCTCAGCTGTACAAAGGACAGCAAAGTCTGATGGACCCTCAGTCCCAAATCCCTGGCCACAACCAACAGACTGTTCAAAATCCAGACAACCTTCAAAACAATCTTCAACAAAATCAGAACCATGTCTTTCACAAGGAGGGCCATAAAAACCATGCACACCAAAGTCAGCTCCAACACAATCAGGTTCCGCAGATACAGTCTTCAACAATGTCTGACAGTCCTGCAAGCTCACATTCCCATCTGCAATCATTTTCTAACACACACTCACTCTCTTCCCCTCCTTCTCTTTCGTCCTCTTCCTCTTCTCTCTCAGCAGTTCTTGTGGAGGGTCAAGCATGGGCCCAGCAAGGGGGAACTGGTGGTACATCTCTTGATGAAGGTCTGACAGAGTTGAAACAGGATCATGTTCGCTCACTCAGTGAAAGGATCATGCAACTCAGTCTAGAATGCAATGGAGCTAAGCAAAGTGTGGGACCTTCCAATTCACCTTTCTCACGAGACACTTTTCCTTGTGGGTCTGATGATAATACAGCAGATTCCCTCTCACCAACTAGTAATACCTCCATGAGTAACCTACAACTTCCACCACCACCCTTACCCTTACCTCAATGGAATTTGGATCAAAGAGGTCCTCCCCCAGAATATCCTTTTAAATTTAAGGTACAGACTATGCTTTCGCCCACATTACACTCCAACTCAGAGTCTCTGGAACAGGGACACTTCTACAGTGATACCATGAGAGCAGCCATGTTGGAGACAGTGCCACTTAGAAATATAGCAAGGTAATTGTAACAGACACGTAAAGGTGAATTGTGTCATTTCTGCGCCACTAGCAGCACCAATTGGAACTGCAAAAATTATGGTTTCCAAATTCCCCCAAATAGATTATTACAGGTAACCATTGGCTGAGCCAGACACTGACATGTTCGACCACTCAAACAAGCAATGTTTTAAGGTGGCTCAGTGTTTACAATTTAAGCCAGCATATTTATAGCTGTCTCTGCGTTAAACTAACTCACACCTATTTAACTTGTAAATGATAAACTGCTTTAACATTGGAAAATGTACACACTTCACCTATAAGTATTTATTATGAACAGGTGCTAACACATTATCTGTCTCACTTTTCAATCACTATCTTTCTGTATTTTAGACAGTGCCCTTTGTCTTCATCACAGCAACAAACACAGACCAGTCCCATGGCTTCGGAGACTTGTATCCTGCCCTCACAGGCTACTCAGCAACAATATCAGGCTGTATCCCTGTCTCAGTCCCTGGGATTTCCTCTAGCTCAGACTGGATCTGAGACCCAGGGACTGTCTTCTTGTGTGGCCCTTTTTGGACAGCCTTTCCCAGGGGAAACGTATGCCATGGTAAGCCATGCCAAGCAGATGCTGGAGATCCTAAAAGAAGAGAACCAAAGCCTTAGACAAGAACTTCACAAGCAAAAGGAGAAGGCCAGCAAACTACAACGGGTACTTGTCTGTCTGACTATCTATCTATCTATCTATCTATCTATCTATCTATCTATCTATCTATCTATCTATCTATCTATCTATCTATCTATCTATCTATCTATCTATCTATCTATCTATCTATCTATCTATCTATCTTATAACTTCACTGGAACGTGGCAGAAATTATCTGTGCTGTGGTGATGAAAATATTGTTGGGATACTGTCCAGCTTGATTTGTGACCCTGGACCACGAAACCAGTCACATGGGTTACAATTTTGAAATTGAGAGTTATACATAATATGGAAGCTGAATAAATAAGCTTTCCATTGATGTATGGTTTGTTAGGATAGGACAATATTTGGCCGGGATACAACTATTTGAACATCTGGAATGTGAGGGTGGCAAAAAATCGAAACATTGAGAAAATAGCCTTTAAAGTTGTCCATTTATGTTCGCGATTGTGCTGCATTTACTCACAAAAATAAATGTTTTATATATTTACGGTAGGAAATTTACAAAATATCTTCATGGAACATGATCTTTACTAGCCTGGTTAAAACCAGACCATTCTCAGTTGAGCTGCATAGACAAATAATTTCCAGAGGGGCGTCACCAACGGACGTCGCGGATAGACCTAAAACCAATCAGAGCGATGAAGGAGATGACGTATGCAGCAGAGCGGCGGAGAAACATCTCCGAGTGTTGTTCTTTGCTCGGTTTTTAACAAAAAGGAAACGTTCAAATCGCTTAAAATAGACGCGACAGCTGATTCGAACGAGTGATGTTCGACGGCGGCATCCATCTTTGTAATGTAGGCTACAAAATCTGCTTCAAAATCCCAGCGCTGTCGTCATCGTGTAAAGCCCACCCCAACGTTTCTGATTGGTGCCTCGATTTCGACGGATTGGAAATGGGCTTGAATGAGCTCTTTGCCAGACTAACTTTCAGAGCAAATCTAAATTTGCCGGAAGTTGTCTGGGTTTTCCCAGGCTAGATCTTTACTTAATATCCTAATGATTTTTGGCATAAAAGAAAAATCGATAATTTTGACCCATACAATGTATTGTTGGCTAATGCCACAAATATACCCGTGCGACTTGTGACTGGTTTTGTGGTCCAGGGTCACATTTTAATACAGCACACTGACAGGAGGACACTGGCATGATTATATTACAGTGCAGCATTAATGGGAGTTTGGGCTGTATTTGCAGTTGGAGGTGGAAGTTGTGCACCTGTCAGAAGCACATGAGAGTTTAGTGAAGAGCACATCCAAACGGGATGCTTTGGAAAAAAACATGAGGAATAAACTAGAAGCAGAGATCAGGCGTCTTCATGATTTTAACAGAGACTTGAGAGGTGAGATAGTGCTCATGCTTTGATTAGAACCTGAGTTTTATTCAAAATTGTTGAACTTTGTAAGTATTTTATTGATGTGCTTGTTAATTTAGTTTATTCGTTCTTGTGTCCTGTGACAAATAACATTTTCTCATATGTGTTTTTAAGAGCGTTTGGAAACAGCCAATCATCAGCTAGCCAGTCAGGAGCTGGAGGGACAAGATGACGGACACTTGTATCGTTCACACAGTGAGATTTTACTGCTTTTTGTGCATCATTACACAAACAGTCTTTTTACACCATTTCTGTTTGGTTGGTCTTTCCCCCCCAAAATATTTAATCTAATCAGGTTGTCTAACTACTCAACCCAAATGAATGCTTGCTTCCCTCCCTTAACTTCCTGTGCTATTTCCTTGCTTGTGCTCCCCCCCCCTCTCTCTTTCTCTATGTCTAATATTTATATTTTAAGAGGTTCAGAATTGGATTTGGCAGCAAATTTCAGGTTTGCATCATTTGAATGTTTGTCATATCAGATGGTATATGCTTTGTAGGCCTTTCTTTTTTTTTAGCCTGTGGGTCTTGCTGTAAATGACAGATGTGCCCTGATATGATCATTGGCAAGGATAGGTGTACCTCAAACTATAAGATTTCCACACAGTAGAGCAGTGCTAAAACACAACTGTGGCCTGTTACACAAAGCTAGTTGAGTTTCAGAGTAGGTTTAGAGATGACATAACCATATAACTCAATTCTCTGCCAACTCAGGTTTTGATTCAGAGTTTATGATTAACTCTAGTTTCACAAAGAGCTAAAAATAGCAATTTTAGGAATATTAAAAGCTTTGTTTTCTAAAGCTTGTATGGATATAATACGGTGTATAAAACAAAACAAAAAAATGTCATTGTGAACTGCTTTAATTTGGAGCAAGAGATACAGGGGGAGTGGCTTCATGACCGCATCAGATATATGTCACTCATAGCTGTTAGGTCCAGTTTTGGTTTGTGGCCTCTACATGGCTGACCTGCTCCAGAGAAGGTTTTATATTGGGTTACCATGGTAATCTAACACTGCTAAAAACCAATCCATCTTCTTGAGCCAAAAAAAAAAAGAGAAGGTTATCTCAAACTTATCTGGGAAGCCACTGAAACTGGCTTTGTGTAATAGTCAACTAAAAGAACAACTTCAAGTAATCTTCAATTTATGTTTTTAACAGGTTAACAAGTTTCACAGTTCACCTTTAAGCTGCAGTCAAAGAACAGCAATCTATATGCACCAAATACACACTAAATAGATACTATTAATTACACACTTAGTACTGAATTACACTGAAATGTTGAAAAAAAGTTATCTGAAACAACTTTTTTATTTTGTCTTTTTTTTCTCAGGAAGAGAAAGCCTGAAAGATCTAGAAAAATTAGAGATGGAGGCAGCTGATCTCCGTTCAGCCAATGAGGATCAGCGACGACACATTGACATCTTAGAGCAGGCTTTAAATAACGCTCAGAGCAAAGTCGTCAAACTAGAAGAAGAGGTGAGTCTGTACACCCTGAATGAACATATTAAACAACATCTGAGGGATGAGCAGAGGCCAGGATCTTTGCAGTAGATTAATATAAATATGATCCAATAGATGAATAACACAGAAGCACAGGAATAGAATGTCCAAAGCACAGGAATGGCGAGCCAAACAATGTCAAAACAAGAGTCTTTGAATGTACATCAACATAAAATGAGACATTACTCCCCCTACTGGTAGGAGCTTCCTGGCGCCATAAACAAAAACACCTTAATGGTGGGAGGAGATGATAATGATTATTAGTGGGTGGGATGGTGGGCCAGGACCCCCAAGCAGAAGAGTACCATGGGGGAATGGATGGAGGAAGAGACCACAGAGGAGCCAGCGGAGGAGGAGAATACAAGGAAGCCGGAAGAGGAAGAGACCGCAGTGAAGCCATAAGAGGAAGAGACCACAGGGAAGCCATAAGAGGAAGAGACCACAGGGAAGCCATAAGAGGAAGAGACCACAGGAAAGCCGGCCGAGGAAGAGACCACAGGGAAGCCGGCAGGAGAAGAGACCACAGGGAAGCCAGCAGAAGAAGAGACCACAGGGAAGCCAGCAGAAGAAGAGACCACAGGGAAGCCAGCGGAGGAAGAGACCACAGGGAAGCCAGCGGAGGAAGAGGCCACAGCAGAGCTGTCAGAGGAAGAGACCACAAGGAAGCTGTCAGAGGAAGAGCCCACAAGGAAACCGGCAGAGAAAGAGACCGCAGGAAAGCCGGCAGAGAAAGAGACCGCAGGAAAGCCGGCAGAGAAAGAGACCACAGGGAAGCCGGCAAAGGAAGAGACCACAAGGAAGCTGTCAGAGGAAGAGACCACAGGGAAGCCAGCGGAAGAAGAGACCACAGGGAAGCCAGCGGTGGAAGAGACCACAGGGAAGCCAGCGGAAAGAAGAGACCACAGGGAAGCTGGCAGAGAAAAAGACCACAGGGAAGCCGGCAGAGGAAGAGACCACAGGGAAGCCAGCAAAGGAAGAGACCACAGGGAAGCCGGGAAAGAAAAAGTCCACAGGGAAGCCAGCGGAGGAAGAGACCACAAAGACGCCGGCAGAGGAAGAGACCACAGGGAAGCCGGCAGAGGAAGAGACCACAGGGAAGCCAGCAGAGGAAGAGACCACAAGGAAGCCGGCAGAAGAAGAGACCACAGGGAAGCCGACGGAGGAAGAGACCACAGGGAAGCCAGCAGAGGAAGAGACCACAGGAAAGCCGGCAGAGAAAAAGACCACAGTGGAGCCAGTGGAGGAAGAGACCACAGGGAAGCCAGCGGAGGAAGAGACCACAGGGAAGCCAGCGGAGGAAGAGACCACAGGAAAGCCGGCAGAGAAAAATACCACAGGGAAGCCAGCTAAGGAAGAGACCAGAGGGGAGCCAGTGGAGGAAGAGACCACAGGGAAGCCGGCAGAGCAAGAGATCACAGGGAAGCCGGCAGGGGAAGAGACCACAGGGAAGCCAGTGAAGGAAGAGACCACAGGGAAGCCAGCAGAAGAAGAGACTACAGGGAAGCCAGCGGAGGAAGAGACCACAGGGAAGCCAGCGGAGGAAGAGACCACAGGGAAGGCAGCAGAGGAAGAGACCACAGGGAAGGCAGCAGAGGAAGAGACCACAGGGAAGCCAGCGGAGGAAGAGACCACAGGGAAGCCAGCGGAGGAAGAGACCACAGGGAAGCCAGCGGAGGAAGAGACCACAGGGAAGCCAGCGGAGGAAGAGACCACAGGGAAGCCAGCGGAGGAAGAGACCACAGGGAAGCCAGCGGAGGAAGAGACCTCAGGGAAGCCAGCGGAGGAAGAGACAACAGGGAAGCCAGCGGAGGAAGAGGCCACAGGGGAGCTGTCAGAGGAAGAGACCACAAGGAAGCTGTCAGAGGAAGAGCCCACAAGGAAACCGGCAGAGAAAGAGACCGCAGGAAAGCCGGCAGAGAAAGAGACCGCAGGAAAGCCGGCAGAGAAAGAGACCACAGGGAAGCCGTCAGAGGAAGAGACCACAAGGAAGCTGTCAGAGGAAGAGACCACAGGAAAGTCCTCAGAGGAAGAGACCACAGGGAAGCCGGCAGAGAAAGAGACCGCAGGAAAGCCGGCAGAGAAAGAGACCACAGGGAAGCCGTCAGAGGAAGAGACCACAAGGAAGCTGTCAGAGGAAGAGACCACAGGAAAGTCCTCAGAGGAAGAGACCACAGGGAAGCCAGCGGAGGAAGAGACCACAGGGAAGCCAGCGGAGGAAGAGACCACAGGGAAGCCAGCGGAGGAAGAGACCACAGGGAAGCCAGCGGAGAAAGAGACCACAGGGAAGCCGGCGGAGAAAAAGACCACAGGGAAGCCGGCAGAGGAAGAGACCACAGGGAAGCCATTAAAGGAAGAGACCACAGGGAAGCCGGCAGAGAAAAAGACCACAGGGAAGCCGGCGGAGGAAGAGACCACAAAGACGCCGGCAGAGGAAGAGACTACAGGGAAGCCGGCAAAGGAAGAGACCACAGGGAAGCCAGCAGAGGAAGAGACCACAAGGAAGCCGGCAGAAGAAGAGACCACAGGGAAGCCGACGGAGGAAGAGACCACAGGAAAGCCGGCAGAGAAAAAGACCACAGTGGAGCCAGTGGAGTAAGAGACCACAGGGAAGCCAGCGGAGGAAGAGACCACAGGGAAGCCAGCGGAGGAAGAGGCCACAGGGGAGCCAGCGGAGAAAGAGACCACAGGGAAGCCAGCAGAGGAAGAGACCACAGGGAAGCCAGCAGAGGAAGAGACCACAGGGAAGCCAGCAGAGGAAGAGACCACAGGGAAGCCAGCAGAGGAAGAGACCACAGGGAAGCCGGCAGAGACCACAGGGAAGCCGGCAGAGACCACAGGGAAGCCGGCAGAGACCACAGGGAAGCCGGCAGAGACCACAGGGAAGCCGGCAGAGACCACAGGGAAGCCGGCAGAGACCACAGGGAAGCCGGTAGAGGAAGATGCCACAGGGAAGCCAGCAGAGGAAGAGACCACAAGGACACCGGCAGGGGAAGGGACCACAAGGAAGCCAGCAGAGAAAAAGACCACAGGGAAGTCAGCAGAAGAAGAGACCATAGGGAAGCCAGTAGAGGAAGATGCCACAGGGAAGCCAGCATAGGAAGAGACCACAAGGACGCCGGCAGAGGAAGAGACCACAAGGAACCCAGCAGAAGAAGAGACCACAGGGAAGCCAGCAGAGACCACAGGGATGCCGGCAGAGACCACAGGGAAGCCGGCAGAGGAAGAGACCACAGGGCCGCCAGCAGAGGAAGAGACCACAGGGAAGCCGGAAGAGGAAGAGTCCGTAGGGAAGCCGTCAGAGGAAGAGACCACATGGAAGCCAGCGGAGGAAGAGACCACAGGGAAGCCAGCGGAGGAAGAAACCACATGGAAGCCAGCAGAGGAAGAGACCACAGGGAAGCCGGCGGAGGAAGAGACCACATGGAAGCCAGCGGAGGAAGAGACCACAGGGAAGCTGGCAGAGGAAGAGACCACAGGGAAGCCAGCAAAGGAACAGAAGAACACTGGCAGAGGAGCCAGTGGAGGAAGCCTCAGCAGAACTGGTGAAATGGGATGCTCTGACAGAGCTGAAGGGATGACAAACCAATGCATAGGCCTAAGAGGGTCTAACTAGGTTGAAGTCAGGAGATCTTAAGATCTTCACAAATGATCAAGTGCTGAGATGGATTCATGTCCACAAACATAGTAAACACAAAATAAAACCTTGCCACTGTGAAAAGTTATGCTCAAGTCTAATAACTGATTAGATGTAAATGTAAATGTAAGTTGTACTTGCAAAGCTGGTCAGGTTGATCTGCTTGATCATCCACATTTTCAGAATCTGACCTGAACTGATACGATAAAAAACCAACAACATTATTAACTGTTTGTTTTTACAATTGGTTTAGAAGCCTTGGAAGCTGAAGCTCACGATTATGGTAAAGGGGTGTTACATTTCCGACACATGCTTGAGGTGTTAGGCCAATTACAGCACACTAGATCAGCTGGCCAATCAGAGCACTTTGGGCTTTTCGGAAGGAGTCTTTGTAGAAACTGTAACTCAATCAGCGTGTTTCAGACAGACTGGAAATATAGGTGCTGCAATAATGTACAGTATGTAAAATATAATATTTTTTGAGCGTTAAAGCGTGTTAACCTATTCTAGTACATCAGTTCCAGTAATCAAAATAATGATCTTTTAAAATAGCGTAATTTAGAACTGGACAACTAGTCTGTCACAGTGCAAGAAAATCACTCTATGCTGCATATACATTTATCTAGCGAGTGTAACTTGATTTCATGTGTGGTTTCGGTAACTTACAGAGATGCAGATATGAGTTGCGTGTCATTTGAATATTTGAAGTCCAGTCACTTGGTCTTGCTCCAGTCAGTTTTATTGCTCAAATGCTCAACTCTTTACTCCGGTATAAAAGCTGGTCTTGATTAAAATTTGATGGATAAACTCATCCCTCGATAGAACTCTTGTTGTGTCAGATGTGATAAGACTTTCTAGATTTATGGACACCGTCATATTTGATATTACTTCAGTCACTGTTGCTATAGTTACTGGTGATAGACACAAATCCCGTTGTTAAGTCTGACGTCATGTTTCACCGCTTCCTGGTCCAAAGTTTCAGATCCCAAAAGCAAACAACAAATGTAGCTAATATACACTCACAGTAAGTATGTTTACATGTATTAATTTCCATCAATCTGAATGAATCCAATCCGATTTCAGTGTGAAAACTGAAAGGGAAAACTCACATGAGAAGAAGCTTTTAAATCACTTTTACTGGCCTATTATACTGTTCACACCATAAATCCTGCATCAAGTAAACAGCTCACCCAATTGAATGGCAATGCTTTGTGACATCCAAACAACATTAATTGAAACTGTTCTCCCTAGACCGAGTTTGTGTTATATTATACTGGACAGGCCAGTAGCAGTGGAACACTTAAACTTTTATTTATTATCTTTACAATCTAGCCGCATAGTTAAATAAAGAAATTATAACAATTTACATTAAGGAGAGAGATATAAAACACCCAGTAAGCAGTGTCAGTCTTCACAAGTAAATCATTATCTCTCTTCTGTCTGTCTGTCTGTCTTCTGTGCTGTAGTTGAGTAAAAAGCAGAAGTATGTGGAGCGGGTGGAGCGGTTGCAGCAGGCATTAGCCCAGCTCCAGGTGGCATGTGAGAAACGTGAGCAGCTGGAACGACGTCTGCGTATGCGCCTGGAGAGAGAACTGGAGTCATTGCGAACACAACAGGTCCGTGAATTGAACTGAAACTTCTTCAACTGAAAATTACAGTACAATGATTGAAACAATTATTGTATAAATCTTTATAATCTATATATTAATAAAGATGACTTGACTTGACTGTGGAAATGAAAAAACACTTCAAAAAGCCCATCTTCCTCCAGCAATGCAATGACTTTACACATGCTAACTACATAGTATGTCCAGGTCGTGTTCATTGAATTACCGGTAATTAAATTGTTCTTTTTTTCAGTATTAGTAAGGCAAAGTACAGATTTTTAAGGAATTACAGGGATTACAATGTTTGGGATAATGTGGTCAGCTGCTCCACATGAACTCCATCTCTGTATTTCTGCTCTGAGTTTGGGTCACTTATGGCATATATTTGGAAAGCAATGTGCACCACCCATTTCACCAGATTTGTAGTAAGAAGCGAGAAACAGTTATTTTCACCAAAATAAAAGCTGGATGATTTTACTCTTGAAATTAAGACATAAATAATAGTATTGCATTTGTACAGTTGTACTGTAAAATACAACATTGTGCAAAAACTAATAGTTTGTTAATGATTTGTAAGTACTTTATTACTGTATACTTATTATAAAGTCAAGTGTTACCAAATGCTGTTCTGTTAACATGGGAAATAATGTTTTCAAAAGACAAATTGCTGGCAAGCATAACACCCAGTTCTTTCACAACCTTCGGGCAAATATTTTATATATATATATTTACATACATGCTGTACGTAATTTGAAAGATTTAAGATAATTCTGTAGTTTACTAATTCAGGGTCGTAAACTAATTCAGTTTATTAAAAGAGGTTTAACGACTGGCAGCTTGATAGGTTCTTAGGACATGTTCTTGAGATAGGGTGGAGTTAATAATATTGAGGAGAGTTTCAGCAGCTACAGGGCTACATTCCACTTTCACTATTTATGCCCTAACTTCCCACCATCTTGTTGACTCGGTTGTACGTCGTTACTCACATTGCACAGAATGAACACTACCGGCACAAAGCTGTGCAATAGGGTTGAATTGGAATTGCCTTTGATCACTTGGAACCCGCTATGGAGCTGATTTATTATTTAAGTTTTTTTCTTATGAATTTGTTTTATGTACCATTTTACAGTATATTCCTAGACATTATTGAGCTGAAGAAAATCTATAAAAAAAAAAATAAAAAAATTCCAATAAACTATTACAATTAGTAAGAAGCAAGAAGTATTATGCAGTTAAATGTTCTAAATATCTCCTATATCATACAGTTGTGTGGGTGATTTAGGCGTGATCCACATGTGGAATATGTAAAGCTTCCTGAAGTGTACATCGGAGTAGGCTTGCAATCAAGTGGTTGGCAAATTTTTTCACTGTATTTTGAATTTTGAAAAGTAAAAACTAAAATGTCTCTGGCTTGCTCACTGTGGAATTAACCCGGTAAAGTCTGACGTATTAAATAATATTTATTAATAATAATATTTTTATTTTAAATGGAACAGGTTATTGAACCTTTAGACAAAATATTTTAATCATATCAATTATTATAATCAAGTAAAACTAAGTTGCTTTAAAACTGTGGGCCCTATTTTAACGATCTAAGCACATGGTCTAAAGCGCACGGCGCAAGTGCACTTAGGGCGAGTCCGAATCCACTTTTGCTAGTTTAACAAAGGTTTTAACGTGCGGTGCATGGTCTAAAAGGGTTGTCTCTATTCTTAATGAGTAATGTGTGTTTTGGGCGTAACGTGCAATAAACCAATCAGAGTCTCATCTCCCATTCCCTTTAAAACCCAGTTGGAAAAACTGAACGCTTCTCCAGAGAGGAAACGGATCTGCTCGTGCGCGAGGTTAAAGAGCGCAAACAGATCATCTACAGGACAAAGTAATTACTCTTTAAAAAATAATAATAATAATTGCGCCATTGACTTGGTTTCAGTTGGTCAATGGCTCAGTCTATTTAAGTTTCCTCAAAATAGCAACGCGCCAACAATGCCAACAAACACACCTCGTTTTCAGACCAGCAGCCCATGGGCGCACAAATGGGCACAAATGCATTTGCTATTTAAACAACGTGGCGCAGGATGTGAAAATGAAAACTGCGTCGGGCTGAAACTAGCAAAAAACACTTGCAGAGCCTGGCGCTGCATTGCACCGCGTGTATGATAGGGCCCAGTGAGTGTCCATCCTGAAATATTACCTACAATATAAAAGTTATTTTTAAGTTTGGTTAATAAAAATCAGTAAAGAAATCAGCAAAAAGAGACACGTACCACATCTTGCTAAAAAAAACATAACATTTCAATCAGAGGCATTGATCATTTAGAGGCCTTGTGTAATGTGTGTATCAAATAGGATGCAGTATCAGTATACAGTAACTATAGGGTTAAAGTATTTATGAAGTGACCTTTAGCAGGTCCCTGTTTAAACAACTTAGAGGTGGGCGACCACAGTAAGAATAAATATCATAATACAGTAATTCCATCTGAAAGTTGTCTCTATAACAAGATATTACTAATTAAAATTAAAGCCATACTCTATGTTTAAACATCATCCTTTAAAGACTGCTAATTCAATAAAAAAGAAAAAAAAAGAAAACTCAGTTCACCTAACTTTTCCACACCCAGTTATATTCACTTAGGACAACCAATCATATTTTCATTAATACTTTTTGAGACTTGACTTGACTTGAGGGGTGGGCTCCAGGAACAGGATTGATGCTGGTTTTGGATGTGCAAGAGTCTTGTTTGGTCCAGTCTGCCTAACCGCTATCAGGTCAGTGTGCTCCTTAAAGGGATAGTTCACCCAAAAATTTACATTTTCTCATAATTTACTCACCCTCATGTTGTTCCAAACCTGTATGAGTTTCTTTCTTTTGTTAAACACAAAAGAAGATCTTTTGAAGAATGTTGGTAATCAGTCAGTTGACGGTAGCCATTGGCTTCAATAGAAAAAAAAATACTATGGCTGGATGGTCAATGGCTGCTTCAACTGTTTGGTTACCAACATTTTCTTAAATCTCTTCCTTTGTGTTCAACAGAAGAAATAAACTCATACCTGTTTGGAACAACTTGAGGGTGAGTAAATGATGACAAAATAAAAAAAATTGGGTGAACTATCCCTTTAACAGCGACATGTTTAGGTTGGTGTAGATCTGTTTATGTAATAGTAACATTCACATGCCCAATCACATTATCTGTTTGCCACGGAAGGGAGTTGTCAACTGCAACAGACCTAAATGTTAGAGAGTAATTATCCTGCCCAACATTACTCATAATAACCACTGTCTCTGTGTGTGTGTGTGTGTGTGTGTGTGTGTGTGTGTGTGTAGCGCGCTGGTGCAGGCGTTCCCCTCTCTGTGCGTGAGTCCAGTGCTCCTGCGCTACTGGATCTGCTAAGGGAGAGAGAGGAAAGAATTCTGGGATTGGAGGCTGATATGACATGCTGGGAGCAGAAGTACTTCGAAGAGAGCGCAATGAGACACTTCGCCATGGAGGCCGCAGCTACAGCCTCAGCTCAGAGGTCAATACACACACACACCCAGCTTTCTATATAAAGACATAGTAAATTAAATTTTTATTTGTACCTTTACAGTAAATCATGCCTTCATGTTCAAGTTCACACTTGTAGTTCAGTTTGCTTGACTAGTTTGGTCTGGACCAAAAAAAACATTTAGTCCTCCTGGTCCATTTATTATTTACATTGGCATTTTAACACCGAACCTAAAGATTCCGAACCTGAAGGCATAGGGATATATTCACAATCTGATTGGTCGGCTTTTATTACATATATTTCGCAACAAAACTTACTGACCATTCAAAACAATGCTGTGTGCCGGGCTAAATGCACTCGTTGTATGCGTGTAGCTACATATGATGGTATTTTGACCAGCTGAGAACTCGTGAAGAGCTTATAAAATGTGTAAAGGAGTAAAAACAGCGGCAGGAATCCCTCCGTCACACACACACACACACACACACAGAGATCTGCTGTGAGGAGACGTGGTTCTGATGCCTGAACTGAACTGTGATGAGCAACATCATGACTATGACCAGAAAAAACAGGTATGCTTGATCATTTTGTCCTTTTTAGGGTCGCAGGGAATTGGATCGAGAGACCCATCTTTTCAGCGGTCTTGGTCCACTTGTTGGTTACACTTATTCAAGTGAACCGCACTAGCAGAGCAATCGCCCCAGGGTTCGCTTTAATCAAACCAAACCTGACAAATGTGAACACATCCTTAAAGCCCTCCATGAGAAAGCCAAAGGTGACCAAGTCACTAGAGAACCAGAGGGCTCTTTGCTCTTTCTTTGCATTGTGCTCTCATCATCATATATACAGTTTTCAATGTGTTTCATATAGTTACTTGTCAGTGTTGGGGAAGTTACTTTTAAAAAGTAGTGTAACTCGTTACTCGTTACTTCTTTAAAAAAGTAATCCGTTACTTTACTTAGTTACCCCATATAGAAAGTAACTTTCTACGTTACTCGTTACTTTTATGTTGCTTGACTTTGGGCAGAACCCAATATCTGTTCCTAAATGTGTAGGCCTACATAAAGTTCTACTATGCATAATGCCATATATAATGCCATAAATGTATAATGCATTTATCAAAATTTTTAATATTTATGAAGAAATGCCCGTTAATGGATAGGCATATGCATGGGCGGCGCTAGGGAGGGGCTAGAAAGAAAGCCCCCAAGAAAGACCAAAGCACCCCGTTAGCACCCCCAAAAATCATTTCTGGAAGTAATTATATTCAGGCTGTATTCTATGGAAGTCCTGAACCGCATGGTGAAGAAAAAAAAAGAAAACTTATCTTGTTATTTAGACATAATAAGGGGACATTCTAATCTGCATTAAGCCAAATTAAGCGTTCTTATAATGGTTTTCTATGGGAGGAAAATGCTTAACGTGTAAGTAAACACGTTGCGTTCATATTCTGGGCTCATCTGATTTTTTGTACATAGTATATCCTACTTTATTATGGTTTTAGTATCATAATGATTAATAAATGCACGCACAATTATCCGTGAACTTGATAAATGTTGCAGATATGTTTTACTGTGCACGTAAACAAATGCCTTTCAACTTATGTGTGCAAAATTCAGAATTAAATGAATGTGCAGCAATATACAAATAGAGAGTCTGTAGGCCATGGGCGTAGGTTTGGTCTCAGCTTTGGTGGGGACATCCCATCTGACCTCCCCCCCCCCCCCCCCACCCCATCTCATCTCATCTCATTATATTGTATCCTGACCCCCGATACACCATCCTGTATACTGTCAATAAAGAGCTAGTATAACTGTATAATCTCAAAAATGCACTCTCAAAAAATAAAAACCTGAGACTGTAATGCTGAACAACCAAACATTTTATTTAACATAAATTATTATGTATCTTCTATTCTATATCAAATTCTATTGATATATTCTATCCTTAAAAGCAAGTTTAACCCTCCTACCAGATATTGTTATTTGGATATTATCAAACAAATAATGATTCATTATATTTGAATAACCAACAGTGTTTACTTTTGCCTTTTTAACATTGCCAACATGTTTTTCCAGACATGTGTCTAGCAAGTAGGCTACACTCACAAATACATTACATAAACAGAATGTAGAAACGAAAAATGTCTGAGATGATCCACTGTTTATGACTGCAAGATTCTAAGTTAAGGTAGGCTAATTAACATTCAGTGACTTGCTAACGTCTATCATGATAGCGCGACTTCTATGAGTCTATCCGTGCTGCACACCCTAATTAATGCTCCTAACCTTGAAAGATTGCAGAAGCTTCAAGCTAGGTTTAACTGTAACAATATCCTGGGTAACCAGGATCACCAGTTAAAACTATTTTCCACAGTAGAATCTGCATTTGAAAGCCTGGTCAGTCACTCACTACTACTGCTAGTTATTTGTGTGGCTAGTTATTTTTGCCTACTTACACTCTGCTTTATGAAAAAGCTTCGTATGTCCCCTTTCTTCTTCTTGGGTGACATAGCTGATCTACAAAGTACAAAAAGGGGCAAAAAACGGAATATTAAATGTTTTACCCTGGCCTTTGTATATGGCATGCAGAGAGACAGACAGCCCTGGTAACTTACCGTCGGCGTCGTCACGCGCGCACACACACACAAACACACACACGCACACACCACCCGCTCGCTGCCAGTGAGTGCAAGCACAAAAAGTAGTCCCGGCCCGCGCGTGTAGCCTGCCTGTCAGATACCCCGCCGCCAATCAAATTACGGCGTATCTTGTACTGTCGTCGTCCTGGCCGTTGGAATCGATCCAAATAGCAGCGCAAATATCAAAATAGCAGTTCAAAGGAGCTTGCTAAATATTGGTGGGGACAAATTTGTCATCTCAAAATATTGATTGGGACTAGTACCTAGCGTCCCCCCCTAAACCTACGCCCTTGCTGTAGGCCCTACCATAGCCTACGTGTTGTAGCCATTAAATAAGCGCATTTAGTTTCATATTTGTTAAAATATTATAATGTTATTTTTTTCCATCTATGCTGGTTATGAAAAGTGAACAGCGCGAGTAAGATGGATGCGCAATATATCGGGAGACATTGAGTCAATCAGACATGATTTTGACCACTTCATTAAGTTTTGTTTTGAAGAAAGCCTTTCTTTAAAGCGAATTTCGTTTTGTATAAATTGTATCTTAATTTTAATCTATTTTTTATCAACCAAAAGCCTAGTTTTAATAAATAAGAAGCAAATATAGGAGACAATATAATCATGGAAGCGCCGGCGTGGTCACTTGCATTGCACGTGAACTGGAGCATCTCATCATAAATTAACCGAAACTCAACGTATAGAATTTAAGCTTGAAATATCTTTAAACGAAACAATTCAAAACGAAAAGAAATAGGCTACTCTCTGATTATGTAATCCATTATATGCATTTCTCTCTGGGGCATTCACTACGGAGATGGCGATCGCGGTCAAATCTATCAAATGACGGAGATCGCTGTCAAATCGCTGTCAGATCGCTGAAAGTAACGTTGCGCCGAATTGAAAAAGGAACTACGTTTCGTTACCAAATTTTCAGTAGTAGCCCGTTACACTACTTTTTACCCGAAAAAGTAGTTACGTTACTGTAACGTGTTACTTTGTAACGCGTTACACACAACACTGTTACTTGTACAGTCTATTCTTGACTTATAATTCAACACTGAAAACAGATGGATGTTGTTCAAAACAATCATCTGACAACATCCGGCTTTCGTTGGCATGTGCCACTAAGACTTGTGAAATGTGCTACTTGTTAATATTAAGTGAAGCTGGTAATGCTGTTTGTGGAGTTGTTTAATCCTACTCTGCTGAAATCTTCAGAGATTTAATGTCTTCTTTTCTCTTCAGTTGATTTCATCTTCTTAGTGGCTGTGGTTGATGTCAGTTGTAGTTCTTGTGTTTCTGCTCATTTCTTTTTCTGTTCTCTTCTTTCCTTCAGTGATTCTGCGTGTTAACAGGCTTATTAAGGCTGCGATGACTCCATATTTAATATACACAGATTTTCTGGCTCAGATAAGGTCCAGTTCTGGTTTCTTTGCCCTTGGCTGACATGTGGCATTGCTATGGCCTGCTTGTGGCCCAGATCTGGCAAACAGGAGTGAGCCACACAAGGGCCGTCATTCCACGCTGCATGTGGGCCAGATCATCTTTCCACATGTGCCAGATGTGGGCCGGATCTGGGACGTCAAAATGTTGCTATGTGGGTAGTGGCATGCGACATTGGCAATATTGCGGAACATGTTATGTTATGGAATGTGTTGTGGTACCTTTAGTGACTGGAGATGAGCAGATATACTGACGTAATTGTGACACAAGATCCTAAATAAATAGCCTAATTTAATGATTTTCAAAAAAATATCAATTGTGGAGCAACTGACCTTGTCTAAGTCTTCTGAGATGTGCGCAGTCAACAGATCTCAACCCAATAGAGCATCTTTGGGATGTGGTGGAACGGGAGCTTCGTGCCCTGGATGTGCATCCCACAAATCTCCATCAACTGCAAGATGCTATCCTATCAATATGAGCCAACATTTCTAAAGAATGCTTTCAGCACCTTGTTGAATCAATGCCATGTAGAATTAAGGCAGTTCTGAAGGCGAAAGGGGGTCAAACACAGTATTAGTATGGTGTTCCTAATAATCCTTTAGGTGAGTCTATAAAGCCCATATTCTGTGGACACCATTTGAACAACCAGCCATTCATTGATCCCTTTCTAAGATCTAGGTGCAGTTAAGGAGGGTAACAAAAATGACAGAGAGAGAGAGAGTGAGAGAACTCCCATCTCCAGGTCCCAGGGCTGGCGCAAAGCACAGCGACACCAGATTTCAAAGTAAAAAGATATAACAAGTTTTATATAAATAATCAGTAGGATATAAACAAATAAGACTTCAGGAGGGGAAACGGACAAAATAACAAGGATAAATCTTTTGACTTTGAGGGGAGTACTTTCTAATCTTTCAAAAGTAAAATTCAAAATGAACAACAAAAATCTCTCCATCGAAACACAGAACTACAAGCTCAGGTCTACCACAAGTCAAGTCAAGTCACCTTTATTTACGTGCTTTTACAATACAGATTGTATCAAAGCAACTTCACAGTGATAACATGAAAATAATACAACAAGTTTGTTTCTAGAAGAAAATTGCGTCATCGTCCACCTGAAGTAAGGCAGATCAATAATATAGTTGAATATTAAATGTCCCCAACTAAGCAAGCCAAAAGCCAAGGCAACAGTGAAGGAACCAAAACTCCATCAGGTGACAGAATGGAGAAAAAAACCTTGGGAGAAACCAGGCTCAGTCAGTGGCCAGTTTTCCTCTGGCCAACAAACGAACAGTGTGTGATTATGATTTAGGCAGCATTACAGATCAGAAGTCAGATTGGATCAGAACATTCAGAATATTTATCCAGTTCATCTGGTTGGAGGCCGGAGTCACGCCGGTATGGAGACGGGTTTGTTGAAGTGTCCATGAGGCCTTCAACAGGGCTGATGAGGCTGGCACTTCAGGGATGCGTTATGGTCGTGTCCAGGCGCAGGTTCACCATCTGATCTGGATACGGCCCGGTCCGGCTGACTTCAATAAACCTCGGAATAAATGGAAAGACTAACATTAGCGTAGATGCCATTCTTCTTATGATGTAACGAGTACATCGGGTGTTGTAGGAAGTGTTTCCGGTTCCGGCTGACCTAATAATCATTTAACTGATTTGAATAATAGAAATGTATAATGTTCTATGTGAATGCCAGGTAAAAGAGATGTGTTTTTAGTCCAGATTTAAACTGACAGAGTGTGTCTGTTTCCCGGACAATGCTAGGAAGACTGTTCCAGAGTTTTGGTGCTAAATAGGAAAAGGATCTACCGCCAGCAGTCGATTTCGACTGCTGGGTATTATCAACTGGCCAGAATTTTGAGATCCCAATAGACGTGACAGACTATAATGTGTTAAGAGCTCGGTCAAGTACTGGGGAGCTAAATGCAGTGTTGACAGAACCGGGCTAATATGGTCATACTTCCTGGTTCTGGTAAGAACTCGAGCTGCTGCGATAATTAGAATCTCTGTTTTTTCAGAATTTAGTAGTAGGAAATTACTAGTCATCCAAATTTTTATATCAGCTATGCATTCCGTTAATTTTGTGAATTGGTGCGTTTCGTTGGGGCGCAAAGAAATATAGAGCTGAGTATCATCAGCATAGCAGTGAAAACTAATGCCATGCTTCCTAATGATATCTTTTAAGGGTGTTCCAGTCCAGTTTTGTTTGATCCAGTACAGTACATTCCCATTAACAAATCTGTATTTTTGTTCATGTATTTGGTAGTTACATATTCTGGTAGATTCATGTTCAGATTAAGCAGCAATGTTCTCATGCCCCTCTCTTACACGTGCTCCATCTCACTCTGTGACCAAAGCCATTCTAGTGAAATCATGAAATGAAACGCAACCACTGTTTCTGTACATATGCAGGAGCAAATTGCTTGATTTCATTAGAAGTTATATGCACATATTGGTTTTGAAATTTGAATATGTTATCCATTCAAACAGCCATGAAACTCTCGAATCATGTTCTGGTAGATTCTTGGTGTTGTATTCTTAAAAGTAGACAGAGGTCGCCCTTGTACTTGGTAAAAAAAAAAGGAGGCAGATATGAAATAATTGAGGGATGCCTGACTAGAAACTTAGCATAGGAACTAGCGCATGATTCATGCAGCTTAATATATTTTATTAAAACATTCTGTTACAAGAATTTTGTCTTGTTTTCTTGTTTTCCAGTAAAAATGTTAAACACCCCTAAATAGAATGAATGAATCAAATGACTTATTATGGCTTGTTTTGAGAGGACATTTCTTTAAAATAATGTCTTTTCACTTTGTCACTTAGTTACTCATCCATACATTTAATTTTAAACCCATTTAACACTCAAGATATTACTAAATATCAGTAGTCATTTTTTGAGCTCCTAACCCCACCCGTAGACCTAGCCTAAACCTAACCACTTATCAACGTGTGTTTGTGATTTTAGTGTGTTACGGCAGATGGAGAGGGCAGGGTTGCTGTAACGGGGGACCAGAAACCCCTGCCCTCTCTTGGACAAAACAATGATGCTCAAAAATAGTATAATGTAATAAAAATAATTATTGCTGTTCAAACAAATTATTCCCCAACATATATGTTTCAGGGATATATCCAACTCCAAACACAGATTTAGCAGGTAAGCAAATGCAAGATAGACAGTTCAGTGAGAAGATGTTTGCTGATTAACTTGGTTCTTTTATCTTGACCAGGACAGCAGAGGATCCACACACACTGAGGAGCAGGTGAGATGTTGACACACACAGATACCAGTAGGTATACAGGTGAGTAGTTAAATTCACTGGAGTTAGCTTGGAGCAAACGGAACCAAAACTCACTGTAGTCTTACTAGCCAAACACCAAGGTGAGTAAAGCAGGTAAGAAGTCTGTTTCCTATAGTTATGGGCCAGACACTGACCCGGAATAGCTGCGTCCCAATTCAAAGGCCGATTGCGTCACAGCGGCGCGACGACCCAATTCAAAGGCTCCTTCAAAAGCGTCCTTTCCCAGAGCAATGAAGGATACAACAGATGCATCCTTCCCAGCCTTGATTACCCCAGAATTCACTTTTAATATCGGGTTTTAACTTACTCAAATATCTAATGATACAAATATAAAAACTTTTAAGCGGTTCAAAATATTATCCATATCTTACTAAGATGCGATTTTATATAGTTTATACTCTTTATTATATACAGAAATGGACCGTGGACAGAAATGGACCGATGACGAGGATCAGGTACAGGTGATGGGCCGCTGTGGTATCAGATTGTTTGGCCTACAGGAAACCGTGACCTTATGTCATAATGACAAAATTTTATGCCCAATATTTCATTTTTATATAATGACAATGCATTTTCCCTTGCCTTGCTGAAAGCAATGGAGATACTACACCTAGGTGTCCTTTAGCATCTTAATAGGGATGCTAAAGGCTCTTGACGCTTCAGTTTTTGATACGTTGGGAGTAAGAATGGGTTTAAGTGGATGCATGTTTATGTGGGTACAATACACACATTTTCTTTTCTCTTTCATTCAGTACAATCTTGTTTACACTTTCTAAAATTGTGTACATTTATTTTTAATAATGATAATGAAGAGATTAAAAAGTATTAACTTTTTTTTTAACAAGTCATCTTGTTTTTGAGTTTTGAGAGATTGATTGTGTGACTGTGTTGTGTTTTCAGAGACACGACTATGATCCAGCACTCCCGCAGTGGCAGTTACAGTGACAGCTCGCTGTGGCTGCATGAGGACGACAGCAGAAGCCAGAGCAGTCGGCACTGTCAGGACGTGGAACAAAGGTGAATGCTAATAAACATAATGCTCATATAAATATTCTCACAGTATAAAACATGTTGCCCAGGCATGTGACTGTTTGCAGAAATCTTAAATACATTATATTTATATATTTGCCTAAAATGTAAAAATTCTATATTAAACATAAAACACTGAACCAGACTATTAAAATGTTGAGCAAATAATCTCATTGGCTGCAGATTGAGCAAAGGCCAATCAGCTTGTGGCATGTGTTAATGATGAGATATCATGCATATTGCATGTAAAGGACCAATCAGAGTTTTATGACTGAACTAGATCTATAACTATAACTATAACTTTATATGTATTGATGAGTACCCCTTCTCAAAGTTAACAAATTCAGCAGTTACTCTTTTACGTAGACGACATATTAGGTTCTTTAATGACGTAATGTTTAAGTCTGCTTGATCAATAACCAAAGAAGCATGTAAATGTTAATCAGGAAAATAACATTTTCTTATCAAAGGGATAAAATGTTGTGTTGCAAAAATGAGTACACCCTCCTGAAAGTTACACACACACACACACAAAAGAACTATTAAAATAAATAATTTCTGCTGCAAATTAAAGGCACTTTCTTTGGTCAACAGGGGAATATATGTAGAACCAAAACATTGTTATATAGCCCCAGTGTTATATAGCCCCAAAAAGTACCCAATTACTTTAATTAGGAATTGCTCTGTATATCACAGGATGAAGGACTTGCATGCTCAGTTGCTGGAGAAAGACGCCATGATTCAAGTTCTACAACAGCGTTCCCGTAGAGATCCCGCTCCTCTGCGTCCTGCCCGCTCTGTGCCCTCCATTTCCATAGCAAGTGGACTACACACACGCCAGACATCACAGGCCGACCACAGAGACCAGCACAGCTGGAAAGGCAGTACAAGTGAGTATACAAGTATACAACAACACACAAATACAGTTACACTCTGTTACAATCTGACACTCTGTTACCATGCCTCGTTTTTCACAAAACATACTGTAACTTACTGTACTGTACTGAGTGAATGACTGTAACTTTATATGTGTGTTATATTACAATTTTCTAGCATCTTCTGCATATTAACCCATTTACAACAATGACTGTATGATTTTGAGGACAGTTGAGGGACTCATAGACAACAAAGCTGACATCAAAGACAAAGTCTACACTGTAAAACCCAACAAGTTAAGCTAACTCATTTCATTTGAGGACACTGATTACCTCAATTTTTTTTTTTTTTTTTTTTTTTTTAACAGGGGCCATACAGTCAAACATAGTCACAATACAAAGCCTGTAACTGATGCGCAGCATATAGAGTTTGTAGCTAATGCTAATTTTCAACTCCTGTCCCTGGAGGATACTTAATTCAATTAAGTAAAAAAAAAACCATAGTTATGAGTACTCTGAACTTATTTTAATCGAGTCCACTAAAATAAGGATATTTCTTAATACACAATTAAACTTTACACTTCATTCTATATCTTATACAGCTATACCTTCACTATATTGAGTAAAAACAGTGAACTCACAAACTTTAAATTAACTTTTAAGCACTTTTAGTTACTGCTAACTCACAATATTACACATAAAGTCAAATCCAAGCTAAGTCAAGCTAACACATTACATTTAAAGTTAATTTAATTTTTTTAATTTTTACATGAATTTAATTTTAAAAACTAAAAGAAGATATACATTGCACTCAAGAGGTTAAGTGATTAATTAAGTGACTAATTAAGTTATGATTGAGCATTATGATGAAGTTATTGCTTGTTAACACCTGCTGTTAACAAGCAAAATCACTGAAGGAAAGAAAAAACGCAAGAACTACAACTGCCTTCAGACACAGCCTTATGAAATGAACTGAAGATAAAAAAAGACATTAAATCTCTCAAGATCTCAGCAGAGGAGGATTAATCAACTCCACAAACAGCATTACCAGCTTCACTTATTAACAAGAGTGACTTTTTTCTGTCATACGTCTACAGAAGTTCTTAAGAGAATTAACAGAGGTTTATAAGTTGATGATTTATTGGGTTTTGTTTATGGTCACCATGTTGGAGATTAGCGCTTGCTTTAGTTGGGCTCTTGACCATTGCACATAAGTTTTTTTCTGGCTGCTGTAACCTGTGTGTTTATAAAACACATTTGTTATGGCACAGAAGCCAAAAGAAAGTATGATCAGTTGTCGATGGTTGTGCTTTGATGAAAGTCATTATTTAGGGACTTGATTCACTGATCTTTTACAGAGCCTAATCTCTGATTAAACAGGTGATGTATTATTAGTTTTTTAAATTGATTTATAATAGAACTTTGATTCCACTGTAAGACCCATTGTTGTGACAATCAGATTTTAAAAACATCTATGGTAGCAGTGTTGTGACCATCAGATAAAATGAAGGATTTTACAAACTGTTTGTGCAGAAAAAGCTTTCATCAATGGTATTACTAAGACTAACACAGACATCAATAATCAGCATATGAATCTCAACTATGGTGACCATTAAAAGTGATTCATGCCGCAATGCATGCTGGGAGCCATGGATAAGTTTTGTAATATTCTAGCACCCAGCATGCATTGCAGCATGAATTGTTCTTTTAATGGTCACCATTGTTGAGATTCGTATGCTGATTCTTGATGTCTATGTTAGTTTTAGTAATGCCATCGATGAAAACATTTTGTGTACACACTGTTTGTAAAATCCTTCATTTTATCTGACGGTCACAACACTGCTGTAGAAGTTTTGAATAAAACTAATAGTATGTCGCCTGCTTAATCAGGTATTAGACTCTAAATGAGATCACTACATAATGACTGTCATTACCAAAAATTAACAATCAACATCTGATTATATTTTCTCTTGACTTTCATGCCATAACAAATGTGCTTTGTAAACACACAGGTTACAACAGCCAGAGAAAACCTGATGTGCAAAAGTCAAGGGTCAAGAGCCCAACTAAAGCAAGCGCTAATCTCCATCATGGTGACCTTAAACGAAACTCAATAAATCATCAACTTCTAAACCTCTGTTAATTATCTTAAGAACTTCTGTAGACGTCTGACAGAAATAAAGTCAAACTGGTTAGTAATAAGTGAAGCTGTTAATGCTGTTTGTGGAGTTGATTAATCCTCCTCTGCTGAGATCTTCAGAGATTTGATATCTTCTTTTATCTTCAGTTGATTTCATAAGGCTGTGGCTGGAAGGCCCGTTGGTGTTTTAAGCCCCCAACGGATCCTTCAAGGCAGTGCTGCATGGAAGGCGCTCCCCGCCCCCTGCCGCGTTTCAGCCAAATCGCTGCAAAATCTACCATTGCCAATCTGTTTACAGTTAGCTAGATAGCTGAGCGTGTCCGGCCGGCGGCAAAGAAAATCCCTAGCAGCTAGTGTTGGCTATATTTCAAAGCATAGTCATTTTTAAAAAATAATAAAACATTTCATTATGAATTCAGATCTTAGAATATTGCTCTATGCAACTTACCGTACCAAGTTGAGTGGAGTCAAGATCGATCGCTCGTTGGTTCTCAAAGTTGAATGCGAGCACCATTGTTGCGATTGGCTGAAACGTGGCAGGGGGCGGGGAGCGCCTTCCATGCAGCGCTGCCTTAAAGGATCTGTTGGGGGCTTAAAACACCAACGAGCGGCTAGAAGTCAATTGTAGTTCTTGTGTTTCTCTTTCCTTCAGTGATTATGCTTGTTAACAGCAGGTGTTCATCACTAATGCTCAATCATCACTTAATCACCTAATTATAATTTTTTTATCCAATTATCATGTTGGGATCTATAGATCCCAACATGATAAACTGAATGAGTTATAACTCATTCAGTTTGAGTTCTGTTTCAGTCATTGTGTCCACATAATTTTCGGTAATATTTGAGTGCAGTGAACTGAATTTTATTTAGTACATATAACTGTTAGGTTTTACAGTGATCCAGAGAGATTCTGATTCAAATCCATTTAACTATATTGTGTAAATCGACAACAATTAATAATCAGAAGAGAAAAAGCACAGTTTCCAGTTGGTCAGTTTTATTTGTTGGACAAAGAGAAAAATCTGACATCTCTCCATAGAAAAAATGTTGACAGATAAATGTTTGAGCCCTGTGTGAATAGGTCTATGGTATCTATTGTTTCTATTAAAAGATATATTCACAACAAGGTCTTGGTGTAAATTGACCTTTAGTGACCTTTAGTCATCTGCTTCATCACATGAGTGAATATGGTAGTTGGTTGCAAAGTATGAAGTGTGTACTGTACAGAATTTTCATGAAGAATTTACTTAATGATTGTTGATGAAATAGACTTTTTAAGGTATGCTGGTGAGTAGTGTATGATAATATATAACTAAATAATATTTTACAATGCTTCAACATACTTTCGTCTAAAACAGTTAAAATATATTAGTTGCTTAATCACAAATGCCAGCGGACACAATGCTCATAGGTGTATAAAGGTGAAAATGAGAATAAATATACATTGCGCATTACTTCTGTCTATCTAAATCTATCTAAGATAATCTAAACACTATATAATGTGTATGTATTCTCTACTACAAAGCCTAGTGAAAGTTTTATTGGTAACACTTTATAATAAGTTTAGTGTAATAAAGTACTTACAAATCATTAGCAAACTATTAGTTAGTAATTAATAGTATTATAAACTGTAGTTAATACATTAATAGACTAAATTCAAATAGTGAAGTTTTCATTCATTGTTACTGTAATTAACAAATTATTATTGTTTAATTAGCTCATATGTAAAGAGTTAGATTATGCTTTGTTAACAACTTATTAACAGTAAATAGTTCTCACTTTAGATTAGGTCACAGAAAATGGGAAAATTTATTTATTAATTAACTATTTGCAAATGATTTGTAAATACTTTATTTATTTATACTTATTATACAGTGTTACTGTTTTATTGAAGGTGTTTAAGTTATCCAGACTTTTTCCTTTTTGCTGCTTATTGATCATTGATTATTGATTATTAATGACATCTTAGGCAGTGACAATGCAAATTGAAAAAAGCTACTGTCATGCTATGGAAAAATGTAAACAAAATAAGTTAATGTAAATTAAGTTTGTTAGTGATCTAATTTGCACAATTTTAAATGAGGACTTGACTGAATCCTGTTGATGCCACTCTTTTATTTGAAAAAAAGTCTGGCCTGTTGTCCTCTGAACAATATTGGCACTTTGCATTTTAGAAGTTCTCATTTTATTGCCTCCTTGGCACTTGTATTCCTTATTTGTATGGATAAAGGCTTCTGTTAAATGAAGACATGTAGAGGAAATGTCTAATAAAATGTCTTATAGTAAGGATCACTAACTATAAGACACTGATCCTCAACAAACCCATCTCCATACCGGCGTGACTCCGATCTTCAACCAGATGGAACTGGATAATATTGTGATTGTTCCAAACCAATCTGACCAATCAGAAGACCTATAATGCTGTTCGTTTGTTGGCCAGAGGAGAACTGCCCCCGACTGAGTCTGGGTTCTCCCAATGTTTTTTTCTCCATTCTGTCACCTGATGCAGTTTTGGTTCCTTGCCACTGTCGCCTTTTTCCACCTTTGTTGCCATTGGCTTTTGGCTTGCTTAGTTGGGGACATTAAATTTAACATTTAATTTGATATTCAACAATAATATTTCTGTATAATATCTGCCTGCATTGACAGAAGAACTTCAAAGAACTGAACTGAGCTGGACGATGACATCACGGTTTTCTCCAGAGCGGCTATATATATATATACACTCACCGACCACTTTATTAGGTACACCTGTCCAACTGCTCGTTAACACTTAATTTCTAAGCAGCCAATCACATGGCGGCAACTCAGTGCATTTAGGCATGTAGACATGCTCAAGACAATCTCCTGCAGTTCAAACCGAGCATCAGTATGGGGAAGAAAGGTGATTTGAGTGACTTTGAACGTGGCATGATTGTTGGTGCCAGAAGGGCTGGTCTGAGTATTTCAGAAACTGCTAATCTACTGGGATTTTCACGCACAACCATCTCTAGGGTTTACAGAGAATGGTCCGAAAAAGAAAAAACATCCAGCGAGCGGCAGTTCTGTGGGCGGAAATGCCTTGTTGATGCCAGAGGTCAGAGGAGAATGGCCAGACTGGTTCGAGCTGATAGAAGGGCAACAGTGACTGAAATAACCACTCGTTACAACCGAGGTATGCAGCAAAGCATTTGTGAAGCCACAACACGCACAACCTTGAGGCGGATGGGCTACAACAGCAGAAGACTCCACCGGGTACCACTCATCTCCACTACAAATAGGAAAAAGAGGCTACAATTTGCAAGAGCTCACCAAAATTGAACAGTTGAAGACTGGAAAAATGTTGCCTGGTCTGATGAGTCTCGATTTCTGTTGAGACATTCAGATGTTAGAGTCAGAATTTGGCGTAAACAGAATGAGAACATGGAACCATCATGCCTTGTTACCACTGTGCAGGCTGGTGGTGGTGGTGTAATGGTGTGGGGGATGTTTTCCTGGCACACTTTAGGCCCCTTAGTGCCAATTGGGCATCGTTTAAATGCCACGGCCTACCTGAGCATTGTTTCTGACCATGTCCATCCCTTTATGGCCACCATGCACCCATCCTCTGATGGCTACTTCCACCATGTCACAAAGCTCTAATCATTTCAAATTGGTTTCTTGAACATGACAATGAGTTCACTGTACTAAAATGGCCTCCACAGTCACCAGATCTCAACCCAATAGAGCATCTTTGGGATGTGGTGGAACGGGAGATTCGCATCATGGATGTGCAGCCGACAAATCTGCGGCAACTGTGTGATGCCATCATGTCAATATGGACCAAACTCCCTGAGGAATGCTTCCAGCACCTTGTTGAATCTATGCCACGAAGAATTGAGGCAGTTCTGAAGGCAAAATGGGGTCCAACCCGTTACTAGCATGGGGTACCTAATAAAGTGGCCGGTGAGTGTATATATATATATATATAAATGAACTAAATTAATAACTTTTATAAAACAAAAATGAAACATCACTGAACTTACTTAAGCTGGACTGTGACGCTATTTTCTTCTGGAAACAAACTTTTTTGCATTATTTTCCTGTTATCTCTGTAAAGCTGCTTTGAAACAATCTGTATTGTAAAAAGCGCTATATAAATAAATGTGACTATAGCACTCATCACTACAATGTGACCTGTGTTGCTAGACGTTTCACAAAATGGTTTGTGTTCTTGTTTGCAGATGTATTCAGAGGAAAGGACCAAGTAGAGCACATCCTTCCCCCTCTGCCCTCTCTTTCAGTCTCTTCATCTCTCCCTGGCTCCTCTCTTTCCTCTCTTCCTCCATCATTCTCCTCTCTACCTTCCTCTTTTCTTCCCTTCTTGGCCTCTGCAGGTTCAAACACATCATTAATAACCTCATCCTCCTGTGTTCCCCACTCCTCTCTCCCTCCCTCTTCCTCTTCCACGTTACCCTTGTCCTCATCTGTCTCTCTTCTGCCTCCTTTATCATTATCTCTCCCCTCCACTCCTCTCCTGTCCCTTCATTCTAAATCAGTCAGCAGAGACAGCAGCTGTCAAACAGGACCGAGTCCAAAGACATTTAGCGCCGGAACCTCCACAAGGCAAGAGAAGAGAGGTGAGACAGCCAGAAAGTGTTTTAAGTGACAATGTATCTTCTGTATCTATACACTCTTCGGCCACTTTATTAGGTACACCTGTTCAACTGCTCATTAACGCAAATATCCAATCAGCCAATTATTAGCAGCAACTTGCATTGCATGTTCAAGACTATCTGCTAAAGTTCGAACTGAGCGTCAGAATGGGAAAGAAAGGTGATTTAAGTGACTTTGAACGTGGCCTGGTTGTTGGTCTGATTATTTCAGAAACTGCTGATCTGCTGGGATTTTCATGCACAACCATCTCTAGGGTTTACAGAGAATGATCCAAAAAAGAGAAATCTAGTGAGTGTCAGTTCTGTGGGAGAAAATGCCTTGTTGATGCCAGAGGTCAGAGGAGAATGACCCGTCTGCAGAAGAGCATCTCTGACCACTCAACATGATCAAACCTTAAAGCAGAAGAGCATCTATGACCACTCAACATGATCAAACCTTAAAGCAGAAGAGCATCTCTGAACACTCAACACATCAAACCTTGAAGCAGAAGAGCATCTCTCTGAACAACACTCAACACATGAAAACTTGAAGCAGAAGAACAACACTCAACACATGAAACCTTGAAGCAGAAGAGCATCTCTCTGAACAACACTCAACACATCAAACCGCGAAGCAGAAGAGCATCTCTGAATGCTCAACACATCAAACCTTGAAGCAGAAGAGCATCTCTGAACAACACTCAACAGATCAAACCATGAAGCAGAAGAGCATCTCTGAACACTCAACACATCAAACTTTGAAGCAGAAGAGCATCTCTGAACACACAACACATCAAACCTTGAAGCAGAAGAGCATCTCTGAACACTCAACACATCAAACCTTGAAGCAGAAGAGCATCTCTGAACACTCAACACATCAAACCTTGAAGCAGAAGAGCATCTCTGAACGCTCAACACATCAAACCTTAAAGCAGAAGAGCATCTCTGAACACTCAACACATCAAACCTTGAAGCAGAAGAGCATCTCTCTGAACAACACTCAACACATCAAACCTTGAAGCAGAAGAGCATCTCTCTGAACAACACTCAACACATCAAACCTTGAAGCAGAAGAGCATCTCTGAACACTCAACACATCAAACCTTGAAGCAGAAGAGCATCTCTGAACACTCAACACATCAAACCTTGAAGCAGAAGAGCATCTCTGAACACTCAACACATCAAACCTTGAAGCAGAAGAGCGTCTCTGAACACACAACACATCAAACCTTGAAGCAGAAGAGCATCTCTGAACACACAACACATCAAACCTTGAAGCAGAAGAGCATCTCTGAACACACAACACATCAAACCTTGAAGCAGAAGAGCATCTCTGAACACACAACACATCAAACCGTGAAGCAGAAGAGCATCTCTGAACGCTCAACACATCAAACCTTGAAGCAGAAGAGCATCTCTGAACACTCAACACATCAAACCTTGAAGCAGAAGAGCATCTCTGAACACACAACACATCAAACCGTGAAGCAGAAGAGCATCTCTGAACGCTCAACACATCAAACCTTGAAGCAGAAGAGCATCTCTGAACACTCAACACATCAAACCTTGAAGCAGAAGAGCATCTCTGAACACACACACATCAAACCTTGAAGCAGAAGAGCATCTCTGAAAGCTCAACACATCAAACCTTGAAGCAGAAGAGCATCTCTGAACACTCAACACATCAAACCTTGAAGCAGAAGAGCATCTCTGAAAGCTCAACACATCAAACCTTGAAGCAGAAGAGCATCTCTGAACGCTCAACACATCAAACCTTGAAGCAGAAGAGCATCTCTGAACGCTCAACACATCAAACCTTGAAGCAGAAGAGCATCTCTCTGAACACTCAACACATGAAAACTTGAAGCAGAAGAACAACACTCAACACATGAAACCTTGAAGCAGAAGAGCATCTCTCTGAACAACACTCAACACATCAAACCTTGAAGCAGAAGAGAATCTCTGAATGCTCAACACATCAAACCTTGAAGCAGAAGAGCATCTCTGAACAACACTCAACAGATCAAACCGTGAAGCAGAAGAGCATCTCCGAACACTCAACACATCAAACCTTGAAGCAGAAGAGCATCTCTGAACGCTCAACACATCAAACCGTGAAGCAGAAGAGCATCTCTGAACACACAACACATCAAACCTTGAAGCAGAAGAGCATCTCTGAACGCTCAACACATCAAACCGTGAAGCAGAAGAGCATCTCTGAACACACAACACATCAAACCTTGAAGCAGAAGAGCATCTCTGAACGCTCAACACATCAAACCGTGAAGCAGAAGAGCATCTCTCTGAACAACACTCAACACATGAAAACTTGAAGCAGAAGAACAACACTCAACACATGAAACCTTGAAGCAGAAGAGCATCTCTGAACACTCAACACATCAAATCTTGAAGCAGAAGAGCATCTCTGAACACACAACACATCAAACCTTGAAGCAGAAGAGCATCTCTGAACGCTCAACACATCAAACCGTGAAGCAGAAGAGCATCTCTCTGAACAACACTCAACACATGAAAACTTGAAGCAGAAGAACAACACTCAACACATCAAACCGCGAAGCAGAAGAGCATCTCTGAACACACAACACATCAAACCTTGAAGCAGAAGAGCATCTCTGAACACTCAACACATCAAACCTTGAAGCAGAAGAGCATCTCTGAACACACAACACATCAAACCTTGAAGCAGAAGAGCATCTCTGAACACTCAACACATCAAACCTTGAAGCAGAAGAGCATCTCTGAACACTCAACACATCAAACCTTGAAGCAGAAGAGCATCTCTGAACACTCAACACATCAAACCTTGAAGCAGAAGAGCATCTCTGAACGCTCAACACATCAAACCTTAAAGCAGAAGAGCATCTCTGAACACTCAACACATCAAACCTTGAAGCAGAAGAGCATCTCTGAACACTCAACATGTCAAACCTTGAAGCAGAAGAGCATCTCTGAACACACAACACATCAAACCTTGAAGCAGAAGAGCATCTCTGAACACTCAACACATCAAACCTTGAAGCAGAAGAGCATCTCTGAACACTCAACACATCAAACCTTGAAGCAGAAGAGCATCTCTCTGAACAACACTCAACACATCAAACCTTGAAGCAGAAGAGCATCTCTCTGAACAACACTCAACACATCAAACCTTGAAGCAGAAGAGCATCTCTGAACACTCAACACATCAAACCTTGAAGCAGAAGAGCATCTCTGAACACTCAACACATCAAACCTTGAAGCAGAAGAGCATCTCTGAACACACAACACATCAAACCTTGAAGCAGAAGAGCATCTCTGAACACACAACACATCAAACCTTGAAGCAGAAGAGCATCTCTGAACACACAACACATCAAACCGTGAAGCAGAAGAGCATCTCTGAACGCTCAACACATCAAACCTTGAAGCAGAAGAGCATCTCTGAACACTCAACACATCAAACCTTGAAGCAGAAGAGCATCTCTGAACACACAACACATCAAACCGTGAAGCAGAAGAGCATCTCTGAACGCTCAACACATCAAACCTTGAAGCAGAAGAGCATCTCTGAACACTCAACACATCAAACCTTGAAGCAGAAGAGCATCTCTGAACACACACACATCAAACCTTGAAGCAGAAGAGCATCTCTGAAAGCTCAACACATCAAACCTTGAAGCAGAAGAGCATCTCTGAACACTCAACACATCAAACCTTGAAGCAGAAGAGCATCTCTGAAAGCTCAACACATCAAACCTTGAAGCAGAAGAGCATCTCTGAACGCTCAACACATCAAACCTTGAAGCAGAAGAGCATCTCTGAACGCTCAACACATCAAACCTTGAAGCAGAAGGGCATCTCTCTGAACACTCAACACATCAAACCTTGAAGCAGAAGAGCATCTCTCTGAACACTCAACACATGAAAACTTGAAGCAGAAGAGCATCTCTCTGAACAACACTCAACACATCAAACCGCGAAGCAGAAGAGAATCTCTGAATGCTCAACACATCAAACCTTGAAGCAGAAGAGCATCTCTGAACAACACTCAACAGATCAAACCGTGAAGCAGAAGAGCATCTCCGAACACTCAACACATCAAACCTTGAAGCAGAAGAGCATCTCTGAACGCTCAACACATCAAACCGTGAAGCAGAAGAGCATCTCTGAACACACAACACATCAAACCTTGAAGCAGAAGAGCATCTCTGAACGCTCAACACATCAAACCGTGAAGCAGAAGAGCATCTCTGAACACACAACACATCAAACCTTGAAGCAGAAGAGCATCTCTGAACGCTCAACACATCAAACCGTAAAGCAGAAGAGCATCTTTCTGAACAACACTCAACACATGAAAACTTGAAGCAGAAGAACAACACTCAACACATGAAACCTTGAAGCAGAAGAGCATCTCTCTGAACAACACTCAACACATGAAAACTTGAAGCAGAAGAACAACACTCAACACATGAAACCTTGAAGCAGAAGAGCATCTCTGAACACTCAACACATCAAATCTTGAAGCAGAAGAGCATCTCTGAACACACAACACATCAAACCTTGAAGCAGAAGAGCATCTCTGAACGCTCAACACATCAAACCGTGAAGCAGAAGAGCATCTCTCTGAACAACACTCAACACATGAAAACTTGAAGCAGAAGAGCATCTCTCTGAACAACACTCAACACATGAAAACTTGAAGCAGAAGAACAACACTCAACACATGAAACCTTGAAGCAGAAGAGCATCTCTCTGAACAACACTCAACACATCAAACCGCGAAGCAGAAGAGCATCTCTGAACACACAACACATCAAACCTTGAAGCAGAAGAGCATCTCTGAACACACAACACATCAAACCTTGAAGCAGAAGAGCATCTCTGAACACTCAACACATCAAACCTTGAAGCAGAAGAGCATCTCTGAACACTCAACATGATCAATGAAGCAGAAGAGCTTCAGCAGCAGAAGACACACCGGTGACACCGGAGATGCTCTTCTTAAACATCTCTCATCTCTAAAACATCTGTCTTATATCTCCTGTCAGATAAAAACAACAAACTGAGGCTACAGTTCACCAAAACTGGACAATAGAAGATTGGAAAAACATTGCCTGGTCTGATGAGTCTCGATTTCTGCTGCAACATTCAGACGGTCGGGTCAGAATTTGGTGTAAACAACATGAAAGCACGGATCTGTCCTGTCTTGTATCAGCGGTTCAGGCTGCTGAAGGTGTAATGGTGTGTGAAGGATATTTTATTGGCACACTTTGGGTCCCTTAGTACCAACTGAGCATCGGTTAAACACCACAGTCTACTTGAGTATTGTTGCTGACCATGTCCATCACTTTATGACCTGTGTATCATCTTCTGATGGCCTCTTCCAGCAGGATAACAGGCCATATCACAAAGATCAATCATCTCAAACTGGTTTCTTGAACATGCACTATACTGAAACTGACTCCACACTCACCAGATCTCAATCTAATAGAGCATCTTTGGGATGAGGAGGAACGGGAGATTCACATCATGGATGTGGAGACGACAAATCTGCAGCAGCTGCGTGATGATATCATGTCAATATGGACCAAAATCTCTGAGGAATATTTCCAGCACCTTATTGAATCTCTGCCATGAAGAATTAAGGCAGTTCTGAAGGCAAAATGGGCTCCAATCCTGAACTAGCAAAGTGTACCTATTAAAGTGAACTGTGAGTGAAAATGTGAGTGTAGAGTGTTCCTTGACTTAAGTCACAATGAAATCAAAATTGACTATAGTTATTTTTTTATTGAATCATCCAGTGTTTATTGTAAATGAGTTATCCGTGCACATTATTATTTTAAAAACACATGCCCTTGTAATCTTTAATCAAAAACATTACAGGTTTTTTTTTACAATCGCTTGGACACATTTCACAATACTTAGGTCACTCTTTCTACACTCTTCACACAGTGATCACAACAGCAGTCTATGAGAGCTAAACTGAGGATCATTTATCATAGTTTTTTGTACTATGCAGGCCAATTTGCACGTTTACATACTCTTTTCAAAACTGTTAAACTTCATAAACTAACAAAACACAAAAATGAACAAGACAATAACTTGCAACATTTCTACAGTAATATCATATTGAAATATACTCTGGGTCTAAAAAATCTAATACTTTCAAAGCAACTAGATGTAACTGAATATCTACACAAGTGTTAGTCATCAATTCATTACCATCCATTCAAAGTAGGGAAAACACGGGAATAATTTTGTACTGTAATGTAAACATGGGCTTTGTAACATATACTGCAGTGAATTATAAGCAGTAGAGTGTCATTCTTGTTTTGTAAAGAACTTTTATGAAGGGTTTTGACAGTTTTAGTCCATTTTGAATGTGAAATGAACTGCTGTGCCAAGATGAAAGTTGGTTAAGAGAACTGTGTGAAGAAGAGTTTTGATAAAATGACCAAATTATTGAGAAATGTGTCCTAGCGATTGTAAAAGACTGTAATGTGCCCTGGAACTGGAAGAGTCCTTGCTTCTACATCTCATCTGTGGTGACGTGTGTACCGACGACGCGAGGGCTGGACAATCCAAGGATGTCCAATGGCCAGATGATTTTCACTCTCTCCTTTCCAGAAACCTGTCACTCACATGAATCAATTATCCATTTAGTTTGTAATAGAAAAGAAAAGTCGGTTGCATTTTCCATTTTTCGTGGCAATTTTAAAATGAAGCTCAAATGAGATCCTGTGTCCTGGTACCATAATGACCAGTACAGTCAAACAATTACTGACAAAAGTAGCAGGCCTCAATGAGGGTCAGAGGGTCAGTCGCACATGCATGATGCTGTGAGTGACACAGTGACCTGCACCTTTTCCCATAAAAACACTGAAAAACAATGACTAAATGATTCTATAGACAAAAATATTGCAGTCAACAAATGCTATAATCGAATACTAATGCTAGTATCTAATGAAATAATGCTAGAAGAATTGTATCACTGAAAAAAAGGTTTGACAAAAAAGTAATTTGAACCCTGTGTTTATGTGCAGAATGTCCACCCAGACAGGCTAAAGGCCTAGAAGGTCGAGCGGCGCTGAGGAGAGGACAGAAGATGCCCCTTCCTGACCTAGATCTGCTGGAGATCCTTATATGAAACAACAACCCTGCAAATATCATTCCTACAGACAGGACAGCACTTCTGAGAGAGGCAAGAGGGAGTGAGGGAGACAGAAAAAGAAAGGGTGGTAACATGAAGAAAGAGATGATGTAATAGAACACAAACAAACAGACAGAAATTAGATATTAAGAAAACAAAGGAAGCGCAAAGCTGGAATTCAATATTGTGCCTCCAAAACGCTGAATTAGATGGTTGATTCCTGAATTCTATTTTCTGTCCATTTTCACCCTGAAACAATCGAGGAGTAAGGCATTTGCCCCGGCCTGTTTACCTGCACACTCAATGTCTTAAGTTCTCGTCTGTCTTAGTTTATCAGCAGTTTATATAATTCAGAGAAATATTTTGTGTGATGTATTTTTTTTTTGTATGGAATTGTTATGTGTAAAACTAAATGATTGAATGCGGTTGATCTTTTTTTAGTTTTGTGGCAGACTTGCGGCAAATATGCTTGTTATTAATTTTACAGCAATAACTGCTGTTTGGCATCATGTGTGTTTTAATTGCCTGAAAAAAACACTTATTTAATTGAGTAAAACTGTTCTTTGGCTGGGAATATTTTAGACTCTGCACTGCTACAATGCTAAATGGTGAAGTTGTCAAGGGTCAATAACTACTGTATAATGTTTTGCGTCCAAAGACAATTGCATAATTGATTGATTGTTTTCTCTAGAAAGTCATCTACCTTAGTTTTACCACTGTCTTACCCATTTCTAATTTAATAATTTGTTGTGGTTTCCATTCTCCAAATCCATTATCATTTTATTATTTTAATAGCTCTGGTAATCAAAGCAATACAATAAAAGCACAGTGTTCTGTATTACAGATTGTTTTTATTTCAATGATATATTTTACAAAATCATAGTATATACACACACCTCATTATCAAATAACACATTCTCTAAGGAAAAACTCCAACGAAAACCTTTACACAGAGCTTTTAAAACCAACATATTTAGTGAGAAATTGCTCACAAAGGGTCAGTTATTTTATTAATAACACAAATTACGCAGTATGTTTACACGTTGCAAAAAATCATCTGACACTGATTTATTCATCTACATTTCGAAAAGAATAAATAATATAAGCAAATTGTGCAGAGAAACAATATGTGATGCTCAGTCAGATTGAGATCTGGGGAATTTGGAGGCCAAGGCAACACCTTGAACTCTTTGTCATGTTGTCTTTAGCATCCTTGTCACTCTGAGCGGTCTGTGGATACGCAGCCCCACACACAGCAAACTGTGATACACTATGTGTTCTGACACCTTTCTATCATGGGCAGCATCACGTTTTCCAGCAATTTGAGCTACAGTAGCTCTTCTGTGTGATCGGACCAGCCGTTGATCCTTACTTGCATCACTGAGCCATGAACCTGATGCCGGTACATCAGTTGTCCTTTCTTGCACCACTTTTGGTAAATACTAACTACTGCATACCGGGAACACTGAATAAGACTTGCTGTTTTGGAGATGCTCTGACCCATCTTTTGATCTTCTGACTGGTCACTTGCTGCCTAATATATCCTTAGCATATAACTATATATATGTACATATAACCATTGTAACAATTTAATCAATGTTATTCACTCCACCTGCCAGTGGTTTTAATGTGTGTGTCTGATCAGTGTATGAGGGGAGCAATATCATCGTGCAGGATAAAAAGTGAAGCATTCTTGTATGTGCACTACTGTAAATGCTAGAAGCTAAGATTGTTCCATACAGTGTTGTGTAAATTATTCTAAAAAAGTAATTAATCTTCAGCAGTGTAATTAGATTACTGTACTAATTACTCTCTATAAGGTACTGCATTACTTGTACTAATTTCTTTCTAAATCCCAAACAAACCTCACCCAGCGGAAGATACAAGGATAGACATGAATCTGACCTTTTTATTCATTCAAATAAATAATATAAAATTGCATAAATTATTCTTTTTTTTTTGGAATACTTTATTTTCATTTTACAAGAACAAGAATAAACACAAACATCCTCTCCTCCCCAAAAGGTTGCTCCATTATTTTAAAGTAGGTATACAATGTTCCGAGGTCAGTCACATTCCATTACATCACATTATCCACATAATCTAGATAGGGCTGCCAAATTTAATAAAGGTGTTGTATCCCTTTTTAAGGTTATATGTTATTTTTTTCTAAAGGCACTCAGTTATTCATTGCCATAATGCCATTTAGTTATGGATAGAGGGGAATCAGACTTCCATGTGACAGCAATACACTTTCTGGCCGTTGCCAGGGCTATTTCCAAATTTTTTATTTGAAATTTGTTAATTTAAGCAAGCAAAATTCTGGCTCAACAGGTAATTGTAAACAATCTCACTAAAAAAATAGTCTTTTAAAAGAATAAAATGCTATATGAACCCAGGATGGAGTTGTGTCATTCTCAAACAGACAAAAGAATTTTGTCATTTTGGGCAAAAAGTAATATTTTAAAAAAATTGGGTAGTTGAAGTCCCCCCTGACTTGTAGTCCCACGTCAATTTCTCCAAAGATATTCTTGGTACCTTGTTATTCCAATGAATTGTCTTACATTTTTAATAAGAGTGGACTATAATTCAATCTATACGATTTTTAAAGTTATTGTCCACAACTACACCAATATATTGTATTTCAGTTGGGGAATAAAGTTGATGAACACTAATGAAATGTGCTTTCATTACCTTGCATTTGAACGCAGATGACACGCAGAGTAGTTGAATGTTGTTAATGGAATTATTTCACTTTTTATCATAGTTTTCCTTATATCCGGAGACAGTGCCATGGTGACCAATAAATCCTGTAGTCGAGTAAGAGAATGAGAAGGGTCTGTTAGATATAAGAGAACATCATCAGCTAATAAGTTGAGTTGTCTGACCAACCTTAAAGCCCTTTATATAAGGGTCCCTTCTGATTGCCTCTGCCAAAGGCTCAATGGCTAAGGCAAACAGGACATCCCTGTCTACTGGATCTATTTAGGGAAAACGGTGCCCATAGTAGTAATCCTTGCTTTGGATTTATGATATAGGGGGAGAACCCTATATCATACCCAGTTAATAAATACTTGTCCAAACCAAATGTAGTTAATACCTTAAATAAATAGGGCCATTCCAGCCTATCGAAGGCTTTCTCGGCGTCTAACGCCACAGCCACAGTGTGATCAGATCTTGATTTTGCTATTTAGCAAAAAGATTATATTAAAGAATCTACTTAAGTTATTGGCAGATAGGCGTTTTTGAATAAAGCCACTCTGGTCTGAGTTAATTATTTTTGGTAATATCAGACTAAGCCTATTTGCTAACACTTTAGAAATCAATTTATAATCTGAGTTCACTAATGAGATGGGCCTATAAGAGGCACGTTTTAGTGGGTCTTTACTTTTTTTAATATAACTTTTTAATATAACTAATATTATGGCAGTCGAAGAGGATTCGTGAAGCGTTGGTTTATTACATCCATAATCAGTGGGATAAGTAAATCTTTAAATTCTTTAGAAAATTCGGGGGGAAGCCCGTCCTCTCCTGGGGATTTATTAGACTGAAGTGAATTTAGGGCTTTTGTCATTTCTGCCTGAGTAAAAGGGAAATCAAGATTTTTTCGGTCCTCTTCACTAATTTTTTTGTAATTCGATTTGAGACAGAAAGTTGTCAATATGGGTCAAATCGCTGGGCAATTCTGATTTGTACAAATTTAAATAGAAGTGTTATCATTTATTTCTGTTGGGTTATATGAGATAGAGCCTGCTTCAGATTGAATAGCATTAATACTCCTAATGTTTTTCTCTTCCTTCAGTTGCCAGGACAAGATTGTATGTGCTTTCTCTCCCAATTCATAATATCCCTGTTTAGTTATTAAAATAGCTCTTTCAATTTTGTGGGTATTTACTGTAATATATTGTATTGAAGTTTTTTTCTGGACTAAAGATTGATATGTGTCTGAAGAACAATTTCTTTGATAATTCTTTTTCCAAGAGTAACATTTCTTTTTCCAACTTATCAATAAGTTAAGGTCTGTATTGCTTTTTCAGACGTTTTGTATAGGATATTATCTGTCCCCTCAGATAGGCCTTTAACGTATCCCATAAAATTAAACTGTTGGGAGAGGAGGCACAAAACAACTTAATCTGGTCCCTTATGAATGTGCAGAAATCTGGGAACAAAATGGACAAGGTCAATGGTGAGTGATCAGATAAAGTTCTAGATAAATATTCAGCATACTCTCTGAAATAGCTGTGAGGGTGAAAATAGATGCTTATACAAAGTGTTGAGCAAGAGCGTCAGATTGATTTTGACATTGGTGGGGACATAATCTGAATTCTACGGTGTTACAAGTTAAATGTCATCCAGAACTCATAGAACCGCAGTTACATATGTAGGCTAACTCTCGTTGTCACACTTGTGATGTGTAAATAGAGCCGTATTTACCATTGCACTGACAAACCTATTGCACCTTGTTAAAAAAACTTAAGGTAAAAGGTAATTGTGACTTTTTATCTCACAATTCTAACTTTTTTCCCTTTCAGAATTGCGAAACTCGCAATTCTGAGAAAATGTCACTCTTTTTTTCCTCAGAATTTGACTTTAATACTCACAATTGCGAGTGTGTATCAAAATTCGGAGAAAATAAGAATTGTGTGACATAAACTCGCAATTGAGAGAAGAAAAAAAGTCAAATTGTGAGATAAAAAGTCCCCAAAACCCCCAGCTTCCATACTCCAGAGAGAACGCTGTGCACCTGCCTACAACTCTGCGCTGAACCCTCTCCTCCTTCTCCTCGCAGCGGGTCACTCTCATTAGCTGTGGATCAATGAGTGGTTTTGTCCGGTGGAGTTTCCCACGTCTGTGTGCTCTGCTGGCAGTCGCGTGGCTTTAGTCAAACAGATCAGAGACTAATTCACAAACATCTGCCCGTGGTCGAAAGCCCTCTGACATCTGCTCACATTCACTGCTGGAGGGTGTAGCCATGCAACTTATGGCTTATAGTCTAGGTTGCTTATTTCTGACATATATTAATTCATGTCTCGTGTTTTATAAAGTGTCATTTTATACAGTACATTTATTCGACTTTTTGTTTGTCAAACAATGCCTTTCATTAATTTCAGCCATATTACTGGGGTCCCGCCTGCTGGCTCTGTGTACCTCTGGGATTGGATTTGGTTTCGTTTGGCTCTGTTAAGGACAGGGCATGAATACGCTCTGGGTCTCAGGTGTAACCGAACACACATCCTGGGAATGCCGAGGCACCTTGGATTTTCATGTGACACACAAAACGTGTTGTTTCTGTGTAGAACGCCTCTAGGCTGGACATCTGTTGTTTGCTTTGAGTGGGTCTATGTGTGTGTGTGTGTGTGTGTGTGTGTGTGTGTGTGTTTGGGGGCTCATGCATTGAATAGAGGCGGTGACCTGTCATTTGTGAGTGATGGGAGCGAGCGTGTGGGAAAATATCTCAGGCAAAGAGCTTGTGCATTGAGATGCTAATGTCCCTCCTATAAATAAAGGGCATGCGCAGCGCGGAGGGCCTTAGAAACACCCAGCACTGAGACAGGAGTGAGTGAGACTCAGTCTTTACTTCACAGAAGCCAGTGGAGATGACTGCTACCAACCTCCAACAGAACGCAGGCCAAAGGCACATCAGCGCCAAAGAGGAGAGAAAGGTATTATACAAAATCACTACAAAATGTTCTTGAGCATATAACTTAACCTAGACTAAACCTTCTTTCCTCTTGTCCTCTGACTTGTGTTGGTATTTTGTTAAGCTACGGAAACCCCTCATTGAGAGAAAGAGAAGGGAAAGAATAAATCACTGTCTTGATCAGCTGAGAGAGACGGTCGTTGGGGCTTTCAGGCTTGATGTAAGTTACATTCTTGGATGTTACAGATTATAAAGATAAAAATGTTTGTTTAAACCAGGTAATCTTATGTCAGTGCCACTAGACTCATCATAAACTGCTTTTCTTTTGAAATAATTAAACAGCAGTCTAAGTTAGAGAAGGCGGATATTCTTGAGATGACGGTGAAACATTTGCAGAACATCCAGGGCAATAGAGATTCTGGTAAGTAAATGTCATTTGCAATTTGAAATAGCCATAGTTATTTAGTATAGTGTTTTAGTTTGCACTGTATGTTTTGTACTGCATTGAAATTGAAAAGTGAAGTTTCCCAATTCCAATTGAAACATTGGCCTTTTCTGGATTACTGTCAAGGAAAAGACTTAACCGGGTAGAACACCAAAACCACAAGAACAATTTCACTGATTCATTGATTTCATTGGTGAAGAGGGCCCGTATTTATCAAGCTTCTCAAAGTGCCATTTTAGTCGTAACTGTTGAGGATTCATGAAATTTACTCCTACTTTCAAACTTAAGTATACACTTATCAAACTTAAACTTATCAAACTTATCAAATTTCCTAATGCTAAGAATCCCAGTTATTTAAGTCTCTCAAGTGGTTGAGGGGGCTTGAGATGCACTGAGGAGACAGAGACGTGCGCAAATCTTACAGGAGAGGAAGAATGTTCAAACCCAAGGGTCATTTTACATATGAACGTAAAAAGTAATTTCCGCGTATAAATTGCATGATAAACATGTGTGCTATTTCATGAGATGGGTTGGTAAATCATAATGTATTCTCTTGAAAATGATTTATTGTCAAATGTGAGTAAACTCCTCACCATTCAATGTGAATTTATCTGAGAATATTCTTAAATACGGAAATCTATTCAGTGATTGGTCCATGCCAATGTCGTCATCCAAAATCCCGTTTGTGGCACAGCAAAGTGTTGTGAATCATCTCTAAGACTGACACTTAAGATTTAGTCCTACACTTCACTTAAATTACGACTGAGATGCTTGATAACTGACTTTAAAGCGCAGCTTTGGGCCAAGATTTTTTTTACTCTTAAGTCAATTCTTAGCAGTGTTCTTGGGAGTACTAATTCTCAGAGGCTTGATAAATACGGGCTCTGATTAACAATTAAAAATATGTCCCCATAATCTTTCCGTCTCCATTCAGACCCCGTTCTGGATGCAGAGGCCCAACAGAGGTACAGTACCGGGTATATCCAGTGCATGCAGGAAGTTCACAATCTGCTACTTTCCTGCGACTGGATGGACAAAACCCTGGGGTCCCGCCTGCTCAACCACTTGCTCAAATCTCTACCTCGATCGGCCAAGCTCCCCAAGAACTCCCCGACAAGTGTTTCTTCTAGTGATGAGCTGGACAGTCCAAAAGCCTGCCCTCCTTCTCCGGTCTTGTACGAGAGGGCCGTCCAGTCTCAGGATCAGTGTTCTTCGCCCATGAGAATGAGCCCTCATCTCTCAGTTCTAGAGATGTGGAGGCCTTGGTGAAATATCTGTCATTTTAACAGATGGTGTCTGCATGTATGTTTATGTAGTGCATATGACTTGGACATTTGTATGTACCGTTTTGTACGGATGTCGACCAAGAATGTATATGTGTGAAGTATGCTGTCTCACTCAGTGTGAATTCACACACAGTTTTTGCTGACTGTGTAGAGCCTCCTCTAATATGTATCTTATAGATATGTTTCACTGCACTCGTGTGTGTGAGGTGGATCTAGTCCAGAATAGCTCCCATTTCAGACCCTCTCGACTTCCTCTCTGAAGTAAAGCTACTGTAGCCTGCATTGTAGAAGGCCCCTATTAATAATTTTATTTATTTAATTAACACTATATATTTTCAATGAAAGAATTTTCAGTGTTAGAATCCTTTTTAAATAAAACATTCTTTGTCTACTAATTATATGTAGCATTTGAGTCCCTATTACTTATGTTCTATGTACAGTTTGTAACAATTATTAATAAAGAAGTGGTTTGTAACATATATAGTAATTTCTTTTTTTCTTTTCTTTTTTTATACCTATTTACATACAAATACAGTCTTCATAGATTTCTCATCATAGGACATTTTTTGGTGGAGACTGATATGTGTAATCAGAATGTAAATCAATATCAAACCAATACAAGATTTCTGCAGGCATTTCTGAAGTTTGTGTATTGAGATGTTGGAATTGGAGAGTCTAAAAAACTGTTCATCTCTTCCTCCTGTTGTGTATGAGAGGGCTGCCCAGCCTCAAAATCACTGGTCTACTGATCCCCCTGATATATGAAAATAGTTTTGATAATTAATGAGTCCAATCACCAACACGGCACTTGTCAAATCAACGAAACAACAGCATCATAAAAAGGCTGTTTATATTTTATATAGACCATTATTGACATTTAGAGAGCCCCATTTCATAACATCTTACCAATCTTACCTTCTTACCAATGTGTAGACTGGAGCAATGTTATCCTCCACTCCATTATTGAATATTAAGACATACCTAACTTGGATTTCATCAACACTGCCAAAAGATGAAAGTTTATTTTCACTTGTTTGGATTGAGTGGTTACCTGTCCTACAATGTACTTCAAATAAGACAAACCAATAACAAAGAGTCTAATTCTCTCTCCAATTCCAATTCCATAGTTTTTTTAATTCGCTTTGGTACTATTTTCATCAAAACTCTTAGTACAAAAATCCAAACTGATCACACTTGTAATACAGCAAGTCATTCTTTTAAAACCTGATCTCATGCTACAATACAGTTATACACATTTTCAGTCCACATAATCATTGTTTCAAAGACAAGATGATTGCATTTGTAATGAGAGCATTTGGTTTAATCACCAAAACACTGACAACAGTATGATCTTCTTTTTAATTTAGTACTTTTAACAATCAGTTTATGATGTCCCCAGAGTATATGTGAAGTTCCAGCTCAAAATACCACACGGATAATTTTTTATAGCATGTTAAATGTGCCAATTTTGGGGGGTAAGGAAAAACTTGCCGTTTTTGTGTGTCCCTTTAAATGTAAATGAGCTGGTGCTTCCGGGCCCTGTTTAAGAAGAGGCCGTAGCTTCAACAGCTTGTGCTCTGTCTGGTGTTCTCACACACACTGAAAATATCAGTAAACTGTGTTCATCCTTACATGTTCAATCCGGAGTCGGACTCAAGAAGTGACAACATGCTTAATTGATGAATTTATGTAGATGATGCAAATTCATGTAGATGATGCAGATTGAAGCTATCTTCAAGTCATTGATTATCATGTTCCGTCATGATAATCTATAAATCGCTGTACAGGTGCTCGTGTAGCAACTCTTGTCAGATGCCTACAGAGCCAGGGAATATGGAGATAGAACAGGTATACAGTAGTTTAGTTTAATTACGATTATAACTTATGTGGTCATCTTGCTTTTATGACATGCTGTTGCATTTGTGTTACGTACTGTATTGCAATAAAGGTGAAAAGAAGGATGCGACAGCTTGAGCAGACTCCCAAAACCGTTTTTGAGATTCACATTCAAGAAGGTGACATACCAATATACAGCCCTTCCATTCGGACTCTATCTAGTACCTTTAAGAAGTGAGTAGTGAGAAGTGAGCCATGCACACAGAGATCCCTGCTCCTCAGTCATCTAGGAGACTTGGGTTTCAGGGTCAACTTTGGCAGGCGCTCGCTGCTCCCCAGCCAATGGATCTCGTTCCTGGGGGCAGTTTTCGACTCAGCCCAAATGAAGGCTTTGCCGACGCCTATGTCGAATTGGCACATCAACATCGAATTGGCGGTAACTCTGGCCTTTAAGGAGTTCCAGCCGGAACTCAGGGATTATCATGTCCTGGTCCGCTCAGACAACAGGACGGTGGTTGCCTTCATAAACTCCCAAGGAGGTCTCAGGTCTTGCCCTCTATGCAGACTGGCGAGCCGTCTTCTCCTATGGGCACAGAGGAACCTCTGCTCAGTGAGGGCGGTTCACATGCCTTGAAGGAGGGAGCAGACATGTTGTCACGCGTCGGTCCTCCCCTGGGCTAATGGAGACTCCACCCCTCATTGTACAACTTCGGCATTACAAATGATCTAAATCAAAACAACTCTACATAACAAATGATAGAGAAAAAAACAAAACAATAAAAAAGTACAACACAATTTTAAGAATGACTTAAAATGCAAGAGAGAACAAGTGAGACTTTAGACGAAACCTAAAAATATTTAATATTGGGGAAGATCTAACAAAAAAGGGTAGGTCGTTCCATAATCTCGGACCAGCAACAGCGAAATCACGATCACCCTTGATTTAAAGGGATAGTTCACTTTGAAATAAATTTTTGGTATGTTTTAGCTTACCTCAAGGGCATCCAAGATGTAGGTGTCTTTGTTTCCGCAGTAGTTTCAATTTGGATATTTTTAGGTCAAACCGTTCTTGTCTGTCATTCATATAATGCAGGTCTATGGTCACCACCTCAAAGAGCATGCACAGAGAAGTCCAAATTAAACATGATTTAATGACTCGTAAATGTAAGTACACATTGACCTAAGACACGAAACGAGCGGTTTGTGTGAGAAAACGAACAGTATTTATATCGTTTTTACCTCTTGTAAACACAGCCACGTCCAAGTGATCTGAGGGCGCGGGCGCTTCGGTACAGCTTAAGTTCCCCATTAAGTTCCCCATAAGCGTCACCCAAAACTGACGCAATGCAAGAGAACTGTATCTAAAGCAAGCATTTAAGGCTACTCACATAACCCTGGTTCCCTGGGATAACGGAAACGAGAATTTTGTAGCTTGCCGTGCAACTGCGCTTCCAGATCTGCGCTGCGCTTGCACAGACGTGAACCAATCAGGCTTCAGGATGCGGAGAAAACAGGAGTTTTCCCCATACGCTATGCTCGTTCCCGTTATCTCAGGGAACGTACTCGGTTACTAACGTAACCTCGGTTCTCTCTAGAGAGGGAACGAGTACTGCGTAATATCTTACGCTAGGGGAAAACCTCTTTTCCTCGAGATATTGAAGCCAAAAAATTATCCTTAATTTTGTATTAATGCAAAACGCATTGCAACAGCAAGCAGACATAGGCAAGGCGGCTTAGCGCGCCTATTGGCTGGCCTGTGGCAATTGCAGCAGCCTATCAAGAGAGGCCATTCAGTGACAGTCCAATGAGGGCGCTTCGCGCCCATTGCGTCACGCTTCCGCCGTAACGGGCGTGGCCTAGCCTTATAAATACGGCTCGATGGGCTGATATACTCTGGTTTTCATCGCTGAAGCGAACCAGCGTACTGCATGCACGGCAAGATACGCAGTACTCGTTCCCTCTCTAGAGAGAACCGAGGTTACGTTAGTAACCGAGTACGTTCTCTTACGAGAGGTTCTCTCGTACTGCGTAATATCTTACGCTAGGGGAACACAATGCAAAAAGCCATGCGTGCTGGGATCCGACACCAAAGTCCCAAGGGCATGTGCCCGGGGCTCATATAGTGCACAATCACCAGGGACTCACACAGAGTCCGAGAAGAGAGGCTGGAAGCATCATTCTCAATAACATTTAGCATCCTAAGGGAGCTAGTCACTTAAGTGTTCCACACAGCCAGGGTGAAGCATTCAGCCTGAACTGTGCAAAAAATCACAGGTCTAGTTGCCCATGTTAGCTTTAGTTGGCCGCGAGCCGTGCTCAAGCGGATGCAGCATTCTGAGCCGAAGTTCAGGGCAGATAATACTCATTTAACCGACAACAGCTTGGCCTGTAAGGCGGGAACTTCCAGGTTATAAAACCTGATAAATGTAGACGGGGAGGCCCAGCCTGCCGCCATACAGATATCTTGAAGTGTAACTCCGCTAGACCAAGCCCACGACGATGTCTCGGTTTGAGTATGACTTTTGAGTCATTTGGCCCAAATTCCAGACATGTCGCGCTCACAGAGAGCGCTTGCAGATCCCCTACGCGCTTTCACTGAAGCGAGAGCCATGAGAAACGCTGTTTTGAATGACAGGTGTTTCATATCCGACGAGCGGATTGGCTCGAATGGGGCACCTTTCATGGCTTCCAGAACCGTGGAAAGGTCCCATATGGGGACTGAGGGGGGTCTGGGAGGATTCAGCCTCTTAGCTCCCCTGAGGAAGCGGATGACCAGATCATTTCTTCCCAGTGACCGGCCGGTCGCAGGTTCTGTGAACGCCGCTATAGCCGCCACATATACTTTGAGCATGGATGGGGTTCTGCCCTTATCCAGTAGCTCTTGAAGGAAGGAGAGAACTTCCTTAATCCCGCAGTCAGGAGGTGAAAAGCTGTGTGCTTTGCACCATCCAGAGAACACCGACCATTTTGAGGCATAGAGCCGCCTGGTAGACGGTGCTCTAGCCTATGTGATCGTGTTCAGCACTCCTTCGGGGAGGTTTGCGGGTACCCGTTGATGGCCCATGCGTGCAGGGACCAGTGCTCCGGGTAGGAATGCCAGATTGAACCCCTGGCTTGAGAGAGGAGGTCCTTCCTCATCGGTATACGCCATGGGGCAGTGCTCGTCAGCTGCATCAGGACTGGAAACCATGCTTGGTTCGTCCAGAGTGGCGCCACGAGGAGCACTGAGCATCCACTTTCCCTTATCCGTTCCAGCACTTGAGGCAGGAGCGAGATGGGGGGAAAAGCATAGAGGGGGCAACGGGGCCAGACGTGGGCCAGCGCATCCCTGCTCTTGGAGAAAAACTTCGGGCAATGAGCGTTCTCTTGAGACGCAAACAGGTCTACCTGCGCTCTGCCGAATGTCTCCCATAGCAGAATGACCGTCTGGGGGTGCAGAGACCATTCTCCTGCTGGAACATTGTTCCTGGACAATCTGTCCGGACCCAGGTTC